TGGTTTCCAGCCCGAGGTGGGGAAACACCTGGAGAGTTGGAGGGGGTGTGGGGCCTGGGGAGGGCAGGGTTTGGGGAGGGGAGGGACCTCAGCCGGGTTCAATGCCACAGAGTCCACCTTCCAGAGCAGCCATTTTCTTAGGGCTGCCAGGCAATGTTCCCTCTAAGCTGTGGAGTCTTGTGAGCAAAAATTCTACTTTGTGAGCTCCTGGCATTAAAGTAGTGAGCAAGTGATTTGGCTGCTGCATCAATTAGTTTGCTCTGGAGCCCTCCTTCCTGAGCTGAGACAAAAATGTGTGAGCCAGAGGCTAAAAAGCTGTTGAGCTAGCTCACACTCACTCATCTTAGAGGGAACCCTGCTGCCAGGTCTGTGTTGGAAAATACTTGAAGACTTTGGGGGTGGGTCCAGGAGAGGGTGGGGTTTGGGGAGGGGCCTCAGCATGGTGCACTGCCATAGAGCCCACCCTTCAAAGCAGCCATTTTCTCCAGGGGAGCTGGTCTCCGAGTCTCCGTGGTTCCTCCTCCACACAGAGTAATTCTAAACCACCGATAACATACAGATTGCCACTTGGAGAGAAGCCAGGATAGTCAGGGCTTCTTGCCTTCACAGAAATTGTTTTAAACTACCGGCAGAGTTCATGCCTTACTGTGTGGAAGGGGGTGGGTTTCGTCCGGTATGTCAGATGCTCATCACAGACCTGACTGACAGTTACATTAGCTCCTCTGGATGGAAAGGGGTACTTAATATCTGGGTTTTACTCTTGCTCAGGGATTTTTTTGTAGAAAAAGCCCAGCAGGAACTCATTAGCATATTAGGCCACACCCCTGACAGCATTGCACACTAGCATATTAGGCCACACCCCCATGCTTTCCCTTGGCTTGCTGGGCACCCCGGGGCTGCAGGGAGCCCTGGCAAGCCGGCCCTTGGAGGGGAGGGGAGGCAGTTTAAACTTGGACAGGCTGGGGAAGGCACCTGGAGGCATTTAAATGCCTCCCCAATCCTTCCAGGGGGCTCCTGGCCCGCCCACCTCGGAGTCGCGGGGGTGTGTGTCACTCTCCAGGCCTTTCCTCTGTAGCCACGCAAGCAGCGGTTTTGGCTGTACTGGGCGTGGCCAACTCAGAAGCCACCCGGAACTCCGTTCCTGTGCGTTCCTGCCCCAAAATAGCCCTGCTCTTGTTGCTCCTTGTTCTGGCCAACCACCCTCCGTTATGGGTCTTGACAGAGCAGCCAAGGATATTCTTTATGGAACTACCGTGCACTATATTTAAGTATTGAATTAAGAATGATGAGTCAGTTTTGTATGCTGCATACCAGATTCTTATATGTATTGAAGGTTTTACATTTTGGGTTTGAAGTTCAATACATAAGAGGTTCTTTGAAACAACTGCCTCTCTTTCTTGATGCAGCTGGGATCCCTGCCAGTTTCTCTCCCTCCCCAATGGACACGGTGGGGATGGGAGCCCATGAAAAGGTTCCTGCACTCCTAATTCCCCCTACAGAAGCCATTTTGTGGCTGGAACTGCCTCCTGCGGCAGCCATTTTGTGGCTGCACCCACCATGCTGTGTCAGAATTCTGATGATGCCCGCAGACTCAAAAAAGTTGGAGACCCCCTGGAATATAAAGCTTTGCTTATGCCAGCTGGTGCAACTTGAAGGAAGGACTGGGGGGAAATGTCACAGTATAAATATTTAGACCCAAGTTCACAACAAGGATCGGATCTCACCATTATCACATCCAACTGAAGGGTCAACCCCAATTTGGAACCTGCTGGAAAACCCAGTGTCCCCAAACCCTGGAGCCATTACCGGACTTTTCATGTCCCAACTCAAATAATTGAACAGACAACAACTCCTACTTGGTTATACCCTTTTAAATCCAAATTTGGGGGGTGTTCTTTCAAGCGCATTGTTCAACTTCATAAAAGGCCATCTTCCCCCGACACCTGCAAATGTCTGCAAATGGGTGAACTTAGCCCCCAAAATGCAACAGCACACAGAGAAAAAAACTTTATTATCAATACAGTTAGCATAACATAACTATCACTGAACAAGAGGTGTTCCTATAAAAACGGCAAGAAAATTCCACCCTGGTTTCCACTGTAAGCAACTGACAGAAATGTTATGATGTAGGTTTTCCCCAAAATAATCTTTAGGGTTCCCTAGATAATTAGCTCTGGTTTCTAATAGCACCTTTTGTTACAACCAGAGCATTTCTCTGCTGCTCTCCTGTCTGTCATTTGATCATTTGCTCATGGAAAAAGTTTCAGCCCAGGTAGATTTCAATGAAGCCAAGCACTGAGGCTCAACCTCTTTCTGCATTTCCCCATGCTGATGAATGCTCATTTCCCCTCAGCGTGATTCCTTTGATGCAACGTGAGGTTGGTTTTTTTGCTGAAGCTCTTCCCACACTCGGTGCAGTTGTAGGGTTTCTCCCCAGTGTGAGTTCGCTTATGGGAAATGAGGCTAGAGCTCTGGCTGAAGCCCTTCCCACACAGAAAACACTTGTAGGGTTTCTCGCCGGTGTGGATCCTCATGTGCTTAATCAGGGTGGAGTGGTTGCAGAAGCTCTTGCTGCAGCTCGAGCATTTGTAGAGTCTCTCCCCGGTGTGGATTCTCCGATGGGACGTCAGGTTGGAGCTCCAAGTGAAGCTCTTCCCACACTCCAGGCAGGTGTATGGCTTCTCCCCGGTGTGGATTCTCTGGTGCGACGTCAGGTTTGTGTTCTTGCTGAAGGCCTTCCCGCACTCTAGGCACTTGTAGGGCTTCTCTCCAGTGTGGATCCTCTGATGGGAAATGAGGTGGGAGCCCTGACTGAAGCTTTTCCCACACTGGGAGCATTGGTACGGTTTCTCCCCTTTGTGGATTCTCTTGTGCTTGATCAGATCTGACTGGCTACAAAACCGCTTGCTGCAGACTGGGTCTGGGCAGCCATACGGCTTCTCCCCTGTGTGGATTCGCAGGTGTGAGGTCAGGTTTGTGCTCCGGCTGAAGCTCTTCCCGCACTCGGGGCAGTGGTACGGCTTGGGCTCTACTTGGCATTCGAGAAGGTTCCTGGTCTCACTGAAGCCGTCCCCAAACTCAAAGCTTCGAGACGGCGGCTCACCTACGTCGATTCTCCAATGAAGGCTGAGATACTTGCTCCTCCCCTTTTCCGTTGATGGATCCAGCCAAATGGGAATCTCATCCAAATCCTCACCCTCACAAGGACTGGATGGATCCCTCCTCTGTTCTGCCTGGTTCTCCTCCTGCCTCTTGGGTCCACCTCGGTTCCAAAAGTTCTCCTTGGATGCTTTGTGGCCAACTTTTTCTAGCGGTCTCCCAGGCAGTTCCCCCTTATTCTCACTCTTCCAGCCATCACCTGCTGGAACAAAGAGAGAAACCCAATAAAGGCATAAGAGAGAAGCATTTCACTCAGTCCCAGCAGGTGTGTGTGTCCAGTCATCACAGTCTTTCTCCTGTCTCTCCCTCCACTGTTTGCGGAAGTTGCCTGCCGGTTCTAACTGCGGGGTGGGGGTCAACCATAAATTTACACAGAAGCCGTTTGCGAAATGCAAAAGAAAAAAAAAGTTTATTTGTGATCACAAAGGAGAGCCCCCAACTATCTGGAGACTGAAGGAGGGTCTCTCTGAATAAAATCATATGATGATCTTATATACCCTTTAAGTCACGGGTGTCGAACTCATTTGTTATGAGGGCCGGATCTGACATAAATGAGACCTTGTCAGGCTGAGCCATGTGTGGCCTAAAATGTAATGCCAGGTAGCGGAGATATAAACTTTATAAAGGACACAAACACAAAGGGTTTTTTTTAAACTTAAAATAAAAAACATGCTTAAAACATTAGCACTCTTGCAATATTTTGTTTATTTAACAGTGTCTGATAACTAACCCCTCTTGCTCTGAATGATTGCATCAAAATGTCTGTGCTGTTGCAATCTTGAGTATGCCGTTCAGGTGTGTATCCGTAAGCTGCAAACCTACGATGATGCAGCAGCAGCAGAACTGGAAAAAGAAGCAGAAGACAGCCAGTTCCACTGCGGGCCTGATAGAAGCCCTCTGGGAGCCTGATCTGGCCCCCGGGCCGCATGTTTGACACCCCTGCTTTAAGTAAAACTCATTTTGCATAAAAACATATTATGACATCAAATGAGCACGGTAGCTGCCGGTATTTCTATCTTTGCAGTTTCCTGTTTTTGCCTTCTGCAGACACTATTTTGGGCTGAGTAAACAGGACATCATAGAGCATACACAAAAACCTCTGCACTGGTCCCCCTTTCACACAGTTAAAGAAATGTAGTCCCATGCTGAATAATTATAATGTGCTAAATAATATTATTACTATCAGACCTAATGTTTACTAGCACTTTATGATACTGGATTGTTTTAAAAGTGTGTCGTGTGTTCAAAGCTGCCTTGAATGCACGATATGTTGTGAAACATCTAATTGAATTGTAATATAAAGCTTCGTCCTGGGCTAGGATCCAAATCCATCCAATCGTGTTACAAGCCCAGGAAGCACCTAACCAATCACTTTCAAGCAAGCTCCCTGAGCGGGAACATCCGTGATTGGTCCTTATGTGAACAACCTTATTGGTTGGCATTTGTACAGTGGGTGTGGCTACATTAGCCGGGAATGTTTAAAAGCAGGACAGCTGCAATGTAAAGGCTGTTCTGGCTATCTAATGTTGATCTGTGTTGGAGTTGTGTTCGAGTTGGAAGAATAAAGTTGTGTTCTTGCTGAATCACTCTCCGACTTCTTTGTTAAGCGAGCGACTTAACAAAAAGGTTTTACGACTGTTTATAATTGTTAGTTATGTGTTTTAACCTTTTATGTAAGCTGCCCTGATAGGGTTGCCAAATCGTTCTTACCTTGCGGCAGGGGGCTCCCGTTCAGCGTCTTGAGCACGCGCACGCCGCATGCACGTCACCCGGATGTGACGTGATGACGCCGGGCACGCTGGGGGCGGGGCCACAGACATTTGAGGGGAAAACTCTGAGGCACGCCGGGGTGGGGTTTCCCCCGGGGCCCGATTCCGCGGCGGCGGAAATCGGGCCTCCAAAGCGGGGGAAAATCCACCCCCCGGGGGGAATTGGCAGCCCTATGCCCTGAGCCTGCTCCGGCAGGGAGGGCGGGGTATAAATTTGATAAATAAATAAATACATAAACGTCAAAGCAGAAATGCAGACGCAAGCATTAAGAATTAAGCTTGCTTTCATCCAGTCTGGCCTACTTTTTTGGCTCTGTAAGAGGTCTTCCCCTTCACCACCACTTACAATGGGAAAACAAGAACATAAGAGGAGCCCTGCTGGATCACACCAATAGTCCATCTAGTCCAGCATCCTGCCTCACACAGTGGCCAATCAGTTCCTCTAGACAGCCGGCAACAGAGCATAGAGGCCGAGGCCTTCATAAGAACACAAGAAGAGCCCTGCTGGATCAGACCAACAGTCCGTTTAGTTCATCATCCTGCCTCACACAGTGGCTAAACTGGACAGCCAACAACAGGGCATAAACTCCAAGGCCTCCCCCTGATGTTGCCTCCTGGCTCTGGGATTCAGAGGATTAGTGCCTCTGAATGTGGAGGCTCCCCTCAGTCACTATGGCTAGTTGCCACTGATAAGACTCCATGAATCTACCAAACCCTCTTTGAAAGCTGTTTATTCTGGTGGCCATCACTACATCTGGCAGCAAATTCCACCTTGGTCCATCAGCAGCTCTCCTGGGACTCAGGCAGAGGTCTTTCACATCACCTGTTACCTAATCCTTGGAACTGGAGATGCCGGGGACTGAACCTGGGACCTTCTGTATGCCAAGCAGATGAGGCATGTCCCCCTCCCTAAATAAACTTGCCTTTTACTGAGTTAGACCCTTGGTCTACCTCATCTTTTCAACTGGAGATTGAACCTGGGACCTTCTGCATGCCAAGCAGAAGCTCTGCTACTAAGCTACAGCCCCCGCCATTAAGTCAATGTGTTGGAATTGCAAGTTGCTTACACTTCAGTCATTACAGAGTTAAATGTTGTTTGTTAGGAAACAGGATGTTACGTTACATAATGTATTCAACGGGTGGGAAAGTTTGTGGGAGTTGTTTACCCTAATGAAGTGACCTGTAACCTTTACATTGGTCAACTAACATCTTGTTTGTGGAAATGCTTTGATCTAGCATTAATGTATTCACAAGTTTATGGCCCTTTGTGTGAACCAAAGAGGTAGTTCTCTTCTAGAAGCCAAGACAGATAGAAAGATGTAGCTGTTAGCATATATTACTGAGAGTAACTGCAAGTATGTAACCCTTTATTTTATTTCTTTTATCCAAAGTACCATACCCATTTTTATTTTGTTTTCATAGTAAAGATATTTTTCTTTTACTAGTGTGGCTCTTGTGTTTGCAATACAACCATCGACCTTGAATTAAGAATCCCAACACAATGGCCACCCCGGTATCGTATTAAAATATCCAGAACAAGTCGGCAACCCGACAGTAGACCAAATTACTCTCCACTGAAATAGTCCTCTTAACTGCATAAGACACTCTGTACACCATCTGTTCACATAAAACGAGCTTTCTACCCTTATGACACCTGCACACCACTCAGACTGCAATGTCCCTGGTCCATCGCACCTGCGGTGTCGATGTTCCGAAGCTCGTTAAAGTCAGTGCACCAAGTAAATAATTCCCCAGAGCCCAAAACATTCACAGGGTATCTCCCTAGTCAAGATTCTCCATTGTCGAGTACAATTTGAACTGCTCCCACTGCCTCCAATAGGTTCCTGGATGAATTATAAATGCCGAACGGCAATGAAAGCATATCCGCGTTTTTTCTCCCTCTCCCAAAAGACTAGAACTCGAGGGCATCCAATGAAATGGATGGGCAGTAAGCAGAGAGATATTAAAACATGGAATTCGCTGCCAGAGGATGTAGTGATGGCCACAGGAATAAACAGCTTTCAAAGGGGAATTAGATAGATACATGGAGGATCAGTCTCTCAATGGCTACTAGCCATGGTGGCTGAGGGGAACCTCCACATTCAGAGGCACTGAGCCTCTGAATCCCAGACCCAGGAGGAAACACCACGGGAAGGCCTTGGAGTCTTTGCCCTGTTGTTGGCCCTCCAGAGGAACTGGTTGGCCATTGTGTGAGACAGGACGTGGGACTAAATGGACCATTGGTCTGATCTAGCAGGGCTCCTCTTATGTTCTTATGAAGGCCTCGGCCTCTCTGCCCTGTTGCTGGCCCTCCAGAGGAACTGGTTGGCCATTGTGTGAGACAGGACGTGGGACTAAATGGACCATTGGTCTGATCTAGCAGGGCTCCTCTTATGTTCTTATGAAGGCCTCGGCCTCTCTGCCCTGTTGCTGGCCCTCCAGAGGAACTGGTTGGCTGATGTGTGAGACAGAATGCTGGACTAGATGGACCATGGGTCTGTTCTTATGTTCCCAAGTACCCGTGAAATTCCCCATGAAGATACTGGTAGGCTCACTGATGCTTTTCTCATAAACACAGTAGAAGTTTCATTTCTTACCAGAATCGATTCCTGTCCGGACTATGATCTCAGGGGGAGCTGGGTCATGAGCCCAGCAAGGAATGGATTCCTCCACTTCTTCTGCTGGGGGGGTCTCCTGCTGACCACGCAGTCTTTCCTGGCTCCCCAAGGCACCTTGCTGCCAACAACAGTGGGAAACGTCACCTTCTACTTTCCACAACGACATTCCACGAGGTCCTGCTGCTTCAGGCCCTCCTGGGCCTTCTTGATCGATGGCATCCTCTACGGTCATCAGCTCTTGGGCTGCTGGATAAATGAGAATCCACAACTTTATTCCCTAGATTATTACAACACAGGAAACTGAAGAGGATTAAGGTGACAGAGGAAAAGGTGACAATTTTCTTACAGGAAGTAAGTTAAAACCCAAATAATGGTCATCCACTACACATACGCCAGTTCCTAGATACTAGGGTTGCAGATTGTTCTTAAATATTCCACCTAAGAAGGAGCATGTTTTCCCCCTACAAGTGCAAAAGGGGTTTTTTTCGACTGGTGATTTTCATGTATTTCATATTTATTAACATCTAATTTTTTAACCGTGCAATAGTAAACAAGAGAAGTGGAGGAAGAGAAAAAGAGTTTGGATTATACCCTGTCCTTTACTCGGAGACTCAGAGAGGTTTACAGTCTCCTTCCCACAACAGACACCCTGTGAGGTAGGTGGGGCTGAGAGAGCGCTTTCGAGAACTGCTCTTGAGAGAACAGCTCTACAAGAACTGTGGCTGATCCAAGGTCACACCAGCAGCTGCATGTGGAGGAGTGGGGAATCAAACCCAGTTCTCCCAGAATAGAGTCCACGCACTTAACCATTACACCAAACTGGCTCTCGAGTGATTAAACTGTGGAACTCACTGCCAGAGGTTGTAGCGAAGGCCACAGGAATAGGGGATTAGACAGATTCATGGAGGAGAAGTCTATCAATGGCTACTAGCCATGGGGACTAAAGTGAATCTCCACATTCAGAGGCAGTCAACCTCTGAATACCAGTGCCAAGAGGCAACATCAAGGGAAGGCCTTCCGCATCCTGTTGTTGGCCCTCCAGAGGATAAGTTTAGCCACTGTATGATACAGGATGTGGGACTGGATGGACCACAGGTCTGATCCAGCAGGGTTCTTGTGCTCAGGGCTATTTTGGGCAGGAACGCACAGGAACGGAGTTCTGGCTGGCTCCCAAGTTGGCCACGCCCAGCCGGAACTCATTAGCATAATAGGCCACACCCAACAGCAGAAACTCATTAGGATTGGCTACATTAGGGGTGTGTGGCCTAACATGCAAAGGAGTTCCTGCTACAAAAAAAAGCCCTGGGTTTTGACAACAAACAAGGTAAACAGAATAACAAGCAAAAGGCGGGTGTGGCTGGATAACCACACTTCTGGTAACATGGGGGTGCGTCCTAATGTGTTAATGAGCTGTGCTGACAGGGGTGTGGCCTAATATGCTAATTACTTTCTGGTGTTGGGTGTGGCCTATTATGCTAATGAGTTCCTGCTGGGCTTTTTCTACAAAAAGAGCCCTGCTTGTACTTATGTACCATTTTATGGCATTATATAATATTGCTGTTCCCTGCCTGGGGTCCTGAGTTGGTCAGGTCAAAGACTTATGACTTTTTTCAATGAATAAATAAATAACAAAACACCGTAAGAGATAAAAGGAAGGGGGGGAAAGAGGCCATCCTAGCCTCCTCTCCAGATCCCTGGAAGAGCTTATGAGCGTATCTTCTGTCAAGACAGAATCAGGTTGGTAGCCATGTTGGTCTGAAGCGCTGTTGGTCCAGTGGCACCGTTGAGATCAACAAAGTGGGCTTGCACACGAAAACGTATACCTTGAATAAAACTTTGCTGGTCTTGAAGGTGCCACTGGGACTCAAACTCTGATCCTCTTGTAGCTGTCATGGATACGCCTCGAAATACAGGAGAACAGTTGCTGGACTTGACCAAGATCATGAAAGATGTTGCGGCTCACATAAAGAGAACAAGCTCGGCCTTTCGGGAAACCAAACCAGTGACACAGAACAAACCTTTCAGGGAACCATCCCAAGAAGGGAGTCCGGAGACCGAGCCTTGAGGAACAGTCAGAAGACTACAGCGTGGCAACAATTATGTGGCCTTGTTAAGATCAGAAGTCATCCCGTTATCGATAGACACAATTTGTTTAGGCCCAGGTGCAGAAGTGTCTGAGAACTGCAAGAATGTCCAGCTTCACAGAAGATGTAATCAAGGACGGGAGTACCGGTTGAGGGCCGAAAGATAACTTGCAATCATTATTTTTTTTCCGGCTAGATAGGGTTAAAATAAATAGTAGTGAGGATGAACTCAAGGCTGGGTCTCCGGACTCCCTTCTTGGGATGGTCTCCTGAGAGCCCAGGTTTGTTCCCTTTATGTGAGCCGCAACATCTTTCATGATCTTCTCGGTCAAGTCCAGCAACTGCTCCCCTATATTTCGGGGCATATCCATGACAGCTACGACAGAGGATCAGAGTTTGAGTCCTGTAGCACCTTCAAGACCAACAAAGTTTTATTCAAGATATAAGCTTTTGTGTGCACGCACACTGTGTTGATCTTGTGCCACTGGACGCAAACTTTGTTCTGCTCCTTCAGACCAACAAAGCTACCCACCTGAATCTATCCAGTGGGACAATTAGCTATTGTCAGAAGATAATTCTAAAATCTTATAAATATGAGCTGTATTGATCAAGAGCAGGGGTGGCCAAACTGTGACTCGGGAGCCACATGCGGGTCTTTCACACATATTGTGCAGCTCCCAGCAGGGCAGCTGGGGAAGCGAAGGGGAGGCATACTTTTTCTCCCTCCCTCCCTCCCACCCTCCTTCCCATCTATTTGCTTTCTTTGTCTCTCTCTCTTTCTTTCCACCACTTTCATTCTTTCTTTCCACCTCTCTCTTTCTCTCTCTCTTTTACACAAATAAATATCATTAGCAAACAAATATCATTGGACAAATAAATATCATTATCAATATCTGTTTTTACCCTTTTGTTTTTGGCAGTCTCACTTAATGTTAATAAAAAAGAAAAATCTGCATATTTTTAAATAAAAATGTGTGTGCAATATTTGTTCATGTTTTGCGGCTCTCAAACATCCGATATTTATTCTATGTGGCTCTTACGCTGAGCAAGTTTGGTGACCCCTGATCAAGAGCTTCTTCTCAGGAGGGGCTCATTCCCTCTGACCTGCTTGCTTTTGGGTAAGAAAACTTTTATGGACTCATGTCATTTCTCTCCTTTAATTGTCTGTGTAACACTGATAAATGCATGGAATAATGTTTTGTTGATTTAGTCTATATTAGTAAAGGTAAAGGTTCCCTTGCTCGGGTTGCGGTGCTCATCTCCGTTTCAAAGCCGAAGAGCCAGCGCTGTCCGAAGACGTTTCCATGGTCATGTGGCCGACATGACTAAACACCAAGGCGCACGGAACGCTGATCGAAATAAAAAAGCTTAGAACGCAAGCAGAAGCGCTCTAATAGTATTGTGTACAGTAACCCTGAAGGTTACTGAGGTGTACATTTGGCTCCAAGTTAATGATCTGGTATAGCAAAGCTAACTAGATGCCTGGGGTTTCTTAAGTGCGTGCTCATACCTGAATCCGGCCTGTCCAGAGTCGAGGGCATTCAATGAAATTAATGAGCAGTAAGCTTAGGATAAAAGGAAGTCCTTCAACCAAAGAATAACTAACACACGGAATTCACTGCCGCAGGAAGTGATGGCAGCTACAAGCATAGACAGCTTCAAGAGGGGATTGGAGAAACATATGGATCAGAGGTCCATCAGTGGCTCTTAGCCTAGATGGAACACTCTGTCTGGAGCAGTGATGCTCTGTATTCTTGGTGCTTGGGGAGCAACAGTGGGAGGGCTTTTGGAGTCCTGGCCCTGCTGGTGGACCTCCTGAGGGCACCTGGGTTTTGGCTACTGTGTGACACAGAGTGTTAGACTGGATGGGCCATTGGCCTGATCCAACATGGCTTCTCTTATGTTCTTATCCAGAACAGTACCCCCCCCCTTCTTCTGAGACAGGGCTACGCTCTGAAACTGTGAGTGGAGAGAACCTCCAGAGCTCCAGAAAAAAGAGGCCCAGTGGGGTCCAGCTCGGAAGGAGCTTCAGAGCATCCAGGCAAAAAAAGAGAGGCCTTCCTCCTTACCGGACACGCTGCGAGCCCCATCATCTTCCTCCTTGGTTTCTCTGGCCAACTGACGCTCCGAAATCTGGCCTGCCTCGGAGAGAGCCACACCCCCTTCTTCCAACACCACCTGCAAGAAATCAGAATTTTCAAAGTAGAAGATCTTTGGGGAACATCTAACACCAAAAAATGGGGAAGGACCCATGTCCGCCACCCTGAGTCTCTTGGAGAAATATCAGATGGGGAGAGAAATGGGTTGAGAAAGGAAAACCCTCTAGAGGGTATTCCAACATCACTATATCTCTGTCAGGGTCAGGCTGAGGCAAAGGCTATCTGTCTACAAGCCTTGTTCAGAGGGGCATCATCTTTGGAAACCAGGTGGACGGCCACAGCAGACAGGGCCTTCTCTGCTGTGGCCCTTTGTAATGCAGTCTGCTGCAACCCTGGCAAGTTTCTGGTGCCAGAGGGCCCTTTTTGGTGACTTTCATTTTACATTGCACAGAGTGTTGGACTAGGTGGGCCACTGGCCTGATCCAACTTGGCTTCTCTTATGTCCTTATATTTTTAACTCTGTCCCTCACTTAACAGCATAAGGAAGGGGTCTCACCTGGTCTTCCTGTCCCTGGGCATCTTGTTGACTCTGCAAGAAGTCCTCAGCCAGGGCCACTGCTTGTGAGCAGCTCTCGGGGCCATGTTCTCTCACCCAGCTCTGGACCTCCGGCGGAAGGATGCTCAGGAACTGCTCCAGGATCAAAAGCTCCAGGATCTGCTCCTTGGAGTGTTTCTCTGCTCTCAGCCAACCATGGCAAAATTCCTGGAGGCAGCGGTAAGCCCCTCTAGGGCCATCCGTCTCCTGGTAGCAGAAGCGCCTGAAATGCTGACGCATCCTCTCTCTCCTCAGGGAGTCCCCTTGCAAAATGGCCGCCTTCACCTTCCCATAGTCCTCTCTGTCCCTGGCCTCCAGCCTGCTGAAGACCTGTTTGGCTTCCCCACTGAGGGCTGGCAGGAGCCGGGCCGCCCACTCATCCTTGGGCCAGTGACAGGCTTCGGCCACCTGCTCGAAGGAGGCTAAGAAGGCCTTGGCGTCATCCCATGGGGCAGTGGGCCTCTCTGCCACTGGCGGAAGCCCCGGCATTGAACGAGGGGGATCCACGGTCCTCAGGAACTCCTGCCACTGGGCTTCCCAGCGCAGGGGCAAACCTTCCTCTGGTTCCTCCTTCACCCGATACAGAATCGCCCTACTGAGGGATCCTGTGGTACTTTCAGGAGGTGTCGCTTCAGAAGGCTTACTTTCTCCTCCCCGGTCCATCCTGGGCTTGTGATCCTGGGGGACACAAATCGCTTTCCCCGGTCCAGCTGATGCCTCCCATCGGGAAGGGTCTTGCGTCTCCATTTTCATCTTTGGGTAAACTCCCAAGGGTGGGTGCAGAGGACAGAAAACTGAGGAATGCCAACAATCCAGACAGGTAGCTCTTGCCTGAAGGTAAAAAGGGAGCGATTGAACTTTCAGGGACCAACACTTTTTAAAATCTATTGGTTCTAGGGAAGCACATGCAAATTTAACTCCCTGATCAGTGTTCCCTCTAAGACGAGTTAGTGTGAGCTAGCTCACAGTTTTTTAGCCTCCGGCTCACACATTTTTGCCTTAGCTCAGGAAGGATGCCAAATAGCTCGCTCACAACTTTAATGCCAGCAGCTTACAAAGCAGAATTTTTGCTCAGAAGACTTCACAGCTTAGAGGGAGCATTGCCCCTGATCCTTTTCAGAAATGCATATTCAAAGCCCCAGTCAAACCTTTGCGCTTTCTGCCAAGTAGTCACAGAAGGAACCAAATCGTTGTGTCATCAAGTAATAGCCAACGCTCCCTCTAAGCTGTGGAGTCTTGTGAGCAAAAATCCTACTTTGTGAGCTACTGGCAATTAAAGTTGTGAGCGAGCGATCTGGCTACTGCATAAATTAGTTTGCTCTGGAGCCATTCTTCCTGAGCTAAGACAAAAATGTGGGAGCCGGAGGCTAAAAAACTGTGAGCTAGCTCACACTAACTCAGCTTAGAGGGAACACTGGGACCGATTTCTCATAAGCAGCTGTGCCACCCTCGCTCTTCCCTTTCCTCCAACTGTATTTGTCAGTTTCCCACAACTTGCTGCGTGGCTGCATTTTGACCCACAGCACCCCCCAATTTCCCCCATGTCTTCTCGATCCAAATCTGGCTATCCAGAGCTATCCAGGTCAGGGCACCAAATCAGCCAGTAACGCATAAGAAACAGCAAAATGGTCACGCCAGGAAACCCAGCAGTCATGATCCCACACACAACCACCCGATCCCATGTCATGAATCCAAATTCACATGCTACCAGATGAAATTATAAAATGCCACCAGAAGTTCCTCATCATAATAATAATTCTTATTGTATGGCACTGTGGTGTAGTATAGTCAGGAGATCCTACGATTGTCTGGCAGCCAAACATTCTAGCTCTTTAGCATTATGCACCACTAGGTGGCGAGCTAGACTTCTTTCTGAGGCAGAGACGTTTCAGAGCTAGTTTGCCACTGTCTTCCTCTGCATCACGGCCCTGGTATTCCTTGGAGTCACCCTTCCAAATAGTGGCCAAAGCCGACCACGCTCAGCTTCCGAGATCTGACTAGCCTGGTTCCTCAATTAATTCGAGACAGGGCTTAGTAAAACAAGCTGTGTGAGTGTGCCAGTCCACATTCTTCAGTCCATTGACAAAAAGCCCCAACCAATCCCCCAGAAATACACCTGAGTGGGAGGAGAGGTAAGAAAATCCTTGCTAGAGTTGTTCTTTGCTGTGCACCAAGAATGTGGATTTGACCAGCAATCTAACAACAGAGTTGAGGAATTTTAGACATGAGTCCCACTGATTTAGGGTTTAAGCCAAGCACAGCACACTGGATTTGTGACATTTATGGGACAATCCGTGGACAGGGGTGTGACTTGGGGAATCTGATGGACTTGGGCTATTCCTGTGGGAAAATGAGGATCTGTGTAAGTGATCCGTTCACATCTAGGGTCAGATCCATTCTGGGGCTGAACCTTCCTTACGTTTTCAGAGACCGCGTGGATTGAGAGCCAGGGTAAAACGTTGGGCTAGGATCTGGGAGATCCAGGTTCCAATCCCCACCCTGCCATGGAAGCTTGCTGGGTGACCTTGCCCAGTCCCATAACTCTCAGCCTAACCTACCTCACAGGGTTGTTGTGAGGATAAAACGGGGGAAAGGAGAATGATGTAAGCCAATTTGGGTCCCCCATTGGGGAGAAAAGCGGGGTATAAATAAAGTCAATAAATAAATAAGGGCACAGGGTAACAATTCATCCCACCGCTCTGCTTTTCATGGGTAAACTACCCATGTGCAATGGGAAAGCAAACCAAACATTTAAACTGGGAGTCCCCGGCTCTGCACCTTCTCCTCTTCTCTCCCTCTGGTGTGCATGAGTTTTGAAGGCAGGGGAGCTGCTCCTGCCTGCATCCCTTCCTTCCTCCCGGGGTCCCCCAATCTCTATTCAGACGTGCAAAAAAACCCTCCAAGATCTTCTCTTGCACTCACCTAGCACAGCCAAAACCACGTGCGTCTCCGCCCCCTCCCCACCTCAAGGAGGGATCTCCAGCCCACAAAGCCGCCAGTCCCGGGGAAACAGCATTCACACGAAACCCGTGTCCGGAGGAGTCGAGGCACAGGCTCGCCCAACTTTGCAAACGGGTCCCCTTCCTCAGACTCCCCCCGCCCCTCGACAAAGATCCCAGCGTCGCTGCCGGGGCCCAGAAGGAGCCCCCTCCAGTTTGCCTTCTGGCCCGATTTCCAGGCTGGGCGAGTGGGGGGCGGCATTTGCTGCCAAGCCTCCCTCCCTCCCCCTTTGCAACAGAAGAGGCTGGGTCCGCATCCCGTAGGGGCTGGCAAGAGGGATCCTGGGAATCGTAGTTTCTGGGTTCTCGGAACTACAGTTCCCGGGTAGCCTCGGCGAGAGCAGCGGGAGTCGCGGCTCGTTGCCTTGTGGAAGAGGGATCGAATGGATTTCCAGGAGAAAACAGAAAAGGATCTCAAGGTGCTAACCGAACGTGCCTTACCCACCTCCTTGGATAGGGCTTGCAACACAATCCTAAGCACGCCTATTAAGGAGCAACAATGTCAGTCTATGCCAAAGAACAGTTTCATCGAATCATAAAGGTGGAAGGGGCCTCCAGGGTCATCTAGTCCAACCCCCTGCACAATGCAGGAACTACACAAATACCTCCCCCTCCACACCCACAGTGACTGCTGTTCCACGCCCAGAAGATGACCAAAAAAATAATAATAACCCTCCAGGATCCCTAGCCAAACTGGCCTGGAGAAAAATTGTTTCCTGAACCCAAAAGTGGCAATAGACATTTCCCTGGGCATGTAAGAAAGAAAGGGCCAGGAGAACTAAGCACTGAGGCAACACTTCCTGCCCTCCCCCTCATGATCTGCCTAAGTTGACAGGATCAGCATTGCTGTCAGATGGCCATCTAGCCTCTGTTTGAAAACCTCCTCTAGTGTATCCAGCCCTGACAAGGCCGGGCATGTCCGGACTTGCCCAGGGACAAAACCTCAAGCTTCGTATCTAAAGTCAATGGGCCAGAAGGATCCTAGCAGGCCCTATCAGATGGCTAGGTCCCAAACTGTGAGGCCAATAGGTCTCTCGGTTACTGTAAATAGCCTATCGGGGAGTGGGGTGTGTTTTGGTGGTGGGTTTCCAAGGGAATATAAACCGGCCTGCGAGCCAGCCAAGGTGTCTTTTGTTCCCGACTAATAAAGGTATGCTTAACTGAAATCACTCTCCATCTGCATACTTTTCACCTCCAAAGAAGGAGAACCCACCACCTCCCGCAGAAGCTTGTTCTACTGAGGAACCGCTCCGTCAGGAAGTTCTTCCTATTATTTAGCCGAAAACTCTTCTGATTTAATTTCAACCTGTTGGTTCTGGTCCGACCTTCTGGGGCAACAGAGAACAACTCTGTACCACCCCCTAGAGCCCTTCGAGTACTTGAAGGTGGTTATCACATCACCTCTCAATCGTCTCCTCTCCAGGCTGAACATACCCGGCTCCTTCAACCTTTCCTCATAGTGCTTGGTCTCCAGACCGTTCACCATCTTTGTTGCCCTCCTCTGGACACATTCCAGCTTGTCTATATCCTTCTTAAATTGTGGTGCCCAAAACTAAAGACAATACTCTAGGTGAGGTCTAACCAGAAGAGAGTTTGATTTTGAAGTCCACATGACTATAAAACCAGGCCTGACAGCACAAGCAGAATCGCCAGGGCAGGCAGATCTGTGAGCTCAGGACCCTTAATTTTCCCATGGCCAAAGCCATGCCAGGCTTCCTAGTTCAAAACCAGTACTGTGCCCCAGGACTGGAACTGAACAGGGAGCTCTTGATGCACTGGTATGATCTGCTCCCTGTAGCCCACCCCAAGGACTAGTCTTATTGCCGCACTGTGGACTAATTGAAGTGTCTGAACTGTCTCCAAGGGCAGCCCCACTCAGAACACATTATAGTAATCAAGGCTCCCTCTAAGGTGTAGAGTCTTGTGAGCAAAAATTCTACTTTGTGAGCTACTGGCATTAAAGTTGTGAGCGAGCCATTTGGTTGCTGCATAAATTAGTTTGCTTTGAGGCCATCCTTCCTGAGCTAGAGCAAAAATCTGTGAGCTGGAGGCTAAAAAACTGTGAGCTAGCTCACACTAACTCAGCTTAGAGGGAACACTGATAGTAATCTAACCTGTGGGGGGGGGTGAGGAGATAAAAACTCTTCAATATCTTTCCTTTCACCTGCTCCCAAGTTGTGTGGCTCTTGCTTCTTCTTCAACGCCCACCCAACTGCCGTCTCTTTTTCAAAAAAAAACAAAAACCCACCCCACCCCCCCAGTTCCTTTCCCAGGATTCTCCACCATTGTTCAGCGGGAGGTTCCGTGGCTGAGAGCCACATGCTTCAAACTGGGGTTGCTACCAAGGCTCCCTCTAAGCGGTGGAGTCCTGTGAGCAAAAATTCTACTTTGTGAGTGACTGGCATTCAAGTTGTGAGCGAGCGATTCGGCTACCGCATAAATTAGTTTGCTCTGGAGCCATCCCTTCCTGAGCAAAGGCAACAATGTGTGAGCCGGAGGCTGAAAAACTGAGAGCTAGCTCACACTAACTCAGAGGGAGCACTGGTTGCTACCTCTCTGGGCCGGGGGATTCCTGGAGATTGCGGAGGGTGGAACCTAGAAAGGGCAGAATTTGGAGAGGGGAGAGATGTCAGCAGGGTATAATGCCAGAGAACACACCCTTTCTTCTCCAGGGGAACTGATCTCTGTAGTCTAGAGATAAACTGTAATTCCCAGGAGATCTCCCCAATGTTCCCTCTAAGCTGTGGAGTCTTGTGAGCAAAAATTCTACTCTGTGAGCTACTGGCGTGAAATTTCTGAGCGAGCGATTTGGCTACTGCATCAATTAGTTGGCCCTGGAGCCATCGTTCCTGAGCGAAGACAAAAATCTGTGAGCTGGAGGCTGAGAAACTGTGAGCTAGCTCACACTAACTCAGCTTAGAGGGAACGCTGCTCCATACCCTGCCTGGAGGCTGCCAACCCTACTTGGAATGGATGATCTGAATCAGTGTCCAACGTTCTGGAGGCGACTGGTCAGCAGACTTCTACGCACCTCATTCTGAAAACCCACCTTAAAAAACAAAAAGCTATATGTGGCATCTGAACATTAGGGTAACCCGTATATGTGTCAGATTCGTGTGGGTAGCTGTGTTGGTTGGAAGCAGCACAACAAAGTTTGAGTCCGGGGACACCTTTAAGACCCACAATGTTTTGTCCGAGGCATAAGCTTTCGTGTGCATGCGTACTTCCTTCAGATACAGGCTGTATCTGAAGAAGTGCGCATTCACATGAAGGCTTATACCACAAATAAAACACGGGTCTTAAAGGTGCCGCCGGACTGATATATGTGTCAATCATAAGAAATAATAATAAAAATCCATCTGTGTCAGAACAAGAGCAAATAAAGGGCGAGAGATCCTCAAAGCAAGAAAAAGAGTGTACCGAGGAAATAAAGTGCCTTAAAAGACTTCGTGTGCAATGCAGATTAGCAAATCCACTCACATCAAAAGTCCTCGCTCTACTGGGGTGTAATGTATCCAGTCCAGACAAGTTCAGACATGTCCTGACAAGTCTAGAGACAAACGTGGAGCTTCGCTCCAAGAGACAATGGACTATGCGGATCCTAGCCCACTCCAATCAGGGGGCTAGGTTCCCGGCCAGAGCCTATGGGACTCTTGGCCACTGTAAATAACCTATAGGGAAGTAGGGGTGTGTTTTGGGTGGCGGTTTCCCGGGGGGGGGGGGGATATAAGCCGGCCTGTGAGCCGGCCAAAGTCGTCTTGTTCCGGATAGAATAAAGTACGCTTTGCTGAAATCACTCTCCGTTTGCGTACTTTTCACGGGGAAATTAGGGAAAGTGGATGATTCGGAGAGGAGATTATGGGGATGCTCCAAAGCAAACACGCTCTGGTTTGGATGCCAAACCAAATCGAAACCTCTATATAGAAGCTGTCTGTCTATCCATCTATCTGCCTACTTCACTGGGGCTTTGTGAGGATAAAGTGAAAGAGAGGAGAGCGGGAGACAGGTGGAGAGATAGACAGACAGACCAGAAAGAAAGGCAGCCAACTTCACAGGGTTGCCGTGAGGATAAAGTGAAGGACAAGAGAACGGTAGATAGATAATTAGGTTAACAAGTTTCATGGCAGAGTATGGATTCTTCGCTTGATTTCCCAGTTCCTAGACCGACTGCTACACCACCCTGGATCTCAACAGGCAAGTTTCCATACTGAGTCCAGAGGCCAAAAGAAATCCAGTCAATCACACCTCTAGAGGGAAGGCATTCCACAGCAGCCAATCGTGCAGATTCCAGGTGAACCACCTCTGCAGGGCACAGTGCCCACTGGGGCGGGGCGGGGCTTCCTCCGAGCTCCCAGCAACTCTCCAAGGCTGTAGCGCACCAGGAGTAACTCTGCATATGTTCCCCAACGAGCACTCCAGTCCGGGTCTAAACATCTCCTGGTGGTTCCAGGTCCCAAAGAGGCCAGACTAGCGGCGACTAGGGCTAGGGCTTTTTCGGTGGCGGCTCCTACCTGGTGGAATGAGCTCCCAGGGGAGATCCGGGCCCTGCGGGACCTTGCACAGTCCCGCAGGGCCTGCAAGACGGAGCTCTTCCGCCAGGCGTTTGTGTAGGTGCCGCCACGACTGTTACCATCTGTCTACGACTATTACTATCTGTCCTAGCCCTTATTACCAACTCGCCGTGAGTGCAAAAATGGTGGTACTGCGTGGAGCTGTGGCCACTAAGGATAGCATCCTGATGACGTCTTCGGTTCCCTTGTTAGTTGTTGGGGAGAGCACTTATGTTGCACTGAATGTTTTTAAAATGCAGTTTTAATGTTTTACGTATTGGGCATTGGCCCCATCTGTACGCCGCCCTGAGCCCGTTCGCGGGGAGGGCGGGTTATAAATTTAAATAAATAAAATAAATATTGTAAAGACAAATTGCCAAATTGGCTAGGTAGCATTGTAATGCCACTGTGTCCGCTCTGTGGTCCATGACTGGCTGAGATCGTTCACTCACTCAAGACTGAAACAGAAGAAAGGGCTGCCACAGCAGTTGCAAGAAGGGAAAGGTCTGTGTCTGAGAACTGATGTACTCAATAAAGTGGAGGGCCATCACGGGTTGTACAGGCATGTGTGAACCCATGGTTGCACAATTTTGCAACCTTTCCCATTGGAGTCTGCCTGATGAAGAGCTCTGTGGAACTCAAACATTTGCAGCATAAAATCACACTCCAAAAGGAAGAGGTTCACAACTGCAGGCTACTGCTATGGACTCAGTGCATGCCTTAAGCACAGTTCACCTTCCACTGACTATGATGGATTTAGAAAGGTATAAGGATTGGCCTGATAATCCTTTACTTGGATGCTCAGATGGTAGTTGTGGCCTAGAGTTCATTTTGTCAGCTCTGGAGGAGTAGAAAAGAGCAAGAGTCCAGTGCCACCTTAAAGACTAACAAAATTTGTGGCAGGGGACGAGCTTTTGTGAGTCACTGCTGACTTCTTTTTCAGCAAACCATCTTCAGATATCTGAAGAAGTGAGCAGTGACTCATGAAAACTCATATCAGGTTACAAATTTGGTGAGTTTTTAAGGTGCTTTAGGATTCTTGCTCTTTTCTACTGCTACAGACAGACTAACACGGCGACCCGTCTTGATCTAGCTCCGGAGGATATGTCAGCTGTGCCCCTTTCAGGAAACACTGGACCTCACCCCACTAGTGCATCCTCTGGTAACCTATAGCTTTGACTACAGCAATGCCGTTTTCATGGGGCTACCCTTGAAGACAAATTAGAAAATTTACAATCAGCAGCAAGTGGCCACTTAAACTGGGCCTATAACTTCAAAAATTAAATGATCTCCACACAGCCACTGTGTGAGACAGGATGCTCGACTAGCTGAACTACTGGTCTGATCCAGCAGGGCTCTTCTTATGAAGGCCTCGGCCTCTCTGCCCTGTTGTTAGCCATCCAGAGGAACTGGTTGGCCACTGTGTGAGACAGGATGCTGGACTAGATGGACAATTGGTCTGATCCAGCAGTGCCCTTCTTATGTTCTCATGAAGGCCTTGGCCTCTATGCCCTGCTGTTGGCTGTCCAGAGGAACTGGTTGGCCACTGTGTGAGACAGGATGCCGGATGAGATGGACCATTGGTCTAGTCCAACAGGGCTCTTATTATGATCTTATGAAGGCCTTGGCCTCTATGCCCTGCTGTTGGCTGTCCAGAGGAACTGGTTGGCCACTGTGTGAGACAGGATGCTGGACTAGATGGGCCACTAGTCTGATCCAGCAGGGCTCTTCTTGTGCTCTTATGAAGGCCTCGGCCTCTATGCCCTGTTGCTGGCCCTCCAGAGGAACTGGTTGGCCACTGTGTGAAACAGGATGCTGGACTAGATGGATTATGAGTCTGATCCAGCATGGCTCTTCTTGTGCTCTTATGAAGGCCTCAGCCTCTATGCCCTGCTGTTGGCTGTCCAGAGGAACTGGTTGGCCACTCTGTGAAACAGTATGCTGGACTAGATGGACTATTGGTCTGATCCAACAGGGCTCTTCTTATGTTCTTATGAAGTATTAGAAGGTCCCAGGTTCAATCCCTGGTATCTCAGGTTAAAGAATCTGGCAGTAGTGCAAAAGACCTCTGCCACAGACCCTGGAAAGCTGCTGGTAGTCCGAGTAGACAATACATAGTTTGATGGACTGATGGTCTAATTTCATATTTGAGCTTCCTGTGTGTTCATATGTGTTCTAAGCACCTGATCTTCAGTGCACTTGGAAGGGTACATCTCTGCTTAGCATTGCACTATGAGTGACCTTTGCAGCATTTTCTCAATGAAAACATTGCCCATATGATGGCCTTTTGTCCTCATCTCTTCACCCCTGTCGAAATTCATGTTCCCCTCCTCTTCTCCACACTTTTCTCAACACAAGGTTTCAAAGAATGCAATTCAACCCCACCCACCCCTCCTTGTGGGGAGAAAGGATCACACCCAGGACGAATGACTCTTTTGTAAACCTTTTCTTATTTTATTGCTTTAAAATCTCAACAACTGAGCAAGTAAATCTGCGGTGGAGAATCTTGCCATTTCTGTGTCGTACTAACGAAAACCTTCCAAAGGGGTGTTAGGTACAATCGATCTGTCTATACGTCTCTCTCCCTTTTTTCCTCCAAGGAGCTCAGGGGAGCATACATCCCCCCTCCCCCATTTGGTCCTCACAACAACTTTGCAGGGTAGGTTGGGCTGAGGGAGAAGGACTGGCCCAGGCTTACAGAACAAGTTTCAGGCCTGAGTGTAGGAGCAGTGAAAATATCTGCGTGGCAAGCCCGGATAATTCACTGTTCTCCTGGCTGGAAATTGGGAACCCAAAAGTATGTGTGTGCTGAGAGCACGAGTTAATATCTGGTGACTTCCTAATAATGAAGTCACTTGGCCAAGAGCCCGGAAAGGTAAGGGAGAGCGGCTGTTAGAAAACACATTCCAAAAGGATGCTCGAGTGCTTGTAACTTTCCCTTACGTAAGGGAGAAAGGAGGAGGGGGAGGAGATTTTCAATAAATACGGCTGTGAAGTGAGAACACTTCAGTCAGTCAGCTCAGCTTTCTGCAGACCTGTGTCGTGTGTCTTCTTTGAACCCCAGCAATCTTCACCTGAGTGCAGCTTTGAACGTTTGCCTCTTGGGACTCTGTCTGTGAGCTGCTGGCAGTCAGAGTAGATGACACTGACTTGAATGGACCAAGGGCCTGATGCGATAAAAGGCAGCTCCGTGTGTTCAAATCCTTCTCCAACACTCTAAATCAGAAGACCCCGACAGAGCTGGGGAAAGTACAGGAGAGGCTGAAGGGTCTGGGACTTCCCAGGAAGAAGAGGAAAAGGAGGAGGAGGAGGAGGAGGAGGAAGAGATTTGATTTATACCCCACTCTTTACTCGGGAGTCTCAGAGTGGATTATAATCTCCTTCCCTTCTTCTCCCCACAACAGACAACCTGTGAGCAGTGTTCCCTCTAAGATGAGTTAGTGTGAGCAGGCTCACAGTTTTTTTAGCCTCCGGCTCACACATTGTTGCCTTCGCTCAGGAAGGGGTGGCTCCAGAGCAAACTAATTTATGCAGTAGCCAAATTGCTCGCTCGCAACTTTAATGCCATAGCTCACAAAGTAGAATTTTTGCTCACAAGACTCCACGGCTTAGAGGGAGCATTGCCTGTGAGGTAGGTGGGGCTGAGAGAGCTCTGAGAGGACAGCTCTGAGGGAACTGTGACTGACTCAAGGTCACCCAGCTGGCTGCACATGGAGAGAGCCAGTTTGGTGTAGTGGTTAAGTGCGCGGACTGTAATCTGGGAGAACCGGGTTTGATTCCCCACTCCTCCACGTGCACCTGCTGATGTGACCTTGGGTCAGTCACGAGCTGTGGCACAGCTGTCCTTGAAAAAGAGCAGTTTGTGTCAGAGCTCTCTCAGCCCCACCCACCTCACAGGGTGTCTGTTGTGGGAAGGGGAAGGGAAAGGAGTTTGTAAGCCGCTCTGAGACTCCGAGTGAAGGGCGGGGTATAAATCCAATCTCTTCTTCTTTTTCTTCTTCTTCTTCTAGTGGGGAATCAAACCTGGTTCTCCAGATTAGAGTCCGCCATTCTTAACCACTACACCAAAAGAGATGTCTAAGGGGGGATGTTAAAATGTTTTATGACATTATGCACGGGGTGGAGTTGATCAAGAGAACTTTTTCTCCCTCTCCCAAAATACTAGAACTCAAGGGCATCCAATGAAGCTGATGGACAGCGGCCAACCAGTTCCTCTGGACGACCAACAACAGGACATGGAGGATGAAGCTTTCCCCTCATGTTGCCTCCTGGCTCTGGGATTCAGGGGATCTTCTGAATGTGGAGGTTCCCTCAGTCACCATGGGCAGTAGCCACTGATAGACTTATCCTCCATGAATCTATCTAATCCCCTTTTAAAGCTATTTATTCCTGTGGCCATCAGTACATCCTCTGACAGCCAATTCCACATTTTCATCTCTCTCTGTGTAAAGTAGTGTTTCTTTTTGCCTGTCCTGAACCTACTGCCCATTAGTTACCTGACCTTTCACCTAATGAGAACACCAGAGTGCTTCCATGACAAATCTGCATCTCCCAAGTCTGACTCCAGTGCTCTAATCTATAACATTGCTGTGGAGATAAAATGGAGGGGGAGGGATGGAGAACTGTATACACCATGCCGAGCTCCTTAGAAGAAAGTCAAGTGGGGGAAAGTATTAGATACTTAACATATGATTTCAAATCTAACTCTGTATTTATACGAAGCAAAAGGAGGCATTGTCCCAGTTCACATCTCCACAGAGTGATGGATAAACAGCAGAATTGGTTCAAACATTTCATACTCTTCTTGGTATATTTGTGCTTTATGTCCAGGTTTCCTCACAGCGAAGGTAGAATACATCAGGCCTGGTTTATTGCAGGGAGTCAGAACATTTATATGACTTTTCTGCTGTAAAAATGTGTTAGAAGATGTGGTTCATGATTACTTTGAATGGAGAAAGCTTCATTTTTATGACTTCTCCCGGTTGTGAATGTTTTGATGTGAACTAAGATCTGTGTTCTTGCAAAACCTCATGCCACATTCTAAACAGCTGAATGGCTTTCTTGCTTCATGGATTCTCCAATGTTCATCAAGCCCTGACAGTTCACCAAAGGTCATACTACAGTCTAAACAATTATATGGTTTATCACTGGAGTGGATTCTTTTGTGTGAATTGAGGTGTGTACTCTGACTGAAGCGCTTCCCACATACAGAACAATTATAAGGTTTCTCTCCCGTGTGAATTCGTTGGTGGGAAATGAGGCTTACTTTCTGCCGGAAACTCTTTCCACACTCTGAGCACACATAGGGTTTCTCTCCTGTGTGAATTCTTTGATGTGTAACAAGGTATGATTTCGAACTGAAGCTCTTGTCACACTCCAAGCATTTATACGGTTTCTCCCCTGTGTGTAGCATGTTATGTTTAAGGAGGCTCGCCTGATCTTTAAAACTCTTGCTACAGTTTGAGCATTTAAACGGCCTCTCCTTTCTGTGGGTTCTCCGGTGCGCAATAAGATTTGTGCTCCGGCTGAAGCTCTTTCCACACTCGAAACACGCATAAGGTTTCTCTCCTGTGTGAATTCTCCGGTGTAAAGTGAGGCACGTGTTCTGTCTGAAGCTTTTCCCACATTCTGAGCATTTGAACGGTTTCTCTCCCGTGTGGATCGTTTGGTGCGTAGCCAGGTTGGTGCTGGCGGCAAAGCTCTTCCCGCATTCAAAGCATTTAAACGGTTTCTCTTCCGTGTGGATTCTTCGGTGGGAAGACAGTCCTGTGCTTCTACTGAAGCTCTTTCCACACACTAGGCATTTATATGGTTTCTCCCCTGTGTGGATTCTTTGATGGGAAGTAAGGCTGGAGCTCTGATTGAAGCTCTTTCCGCACTCAAGGCATTTATATGGTTTCTCTCCAGTGTGAATTCTAAAATGCTGAGCTAGGTTCCTTTGATAACGAAAACTTTTGTTACAGCCCGAGCATTTATACGGTCTCTCTCCTGTGTGGGTTCTTAAATGCTGAACAAGGTTCCTTTGATAGCAAAAGCTTTTGGAACACCCTGAACATTGATACGGTCTCTCCCCTGTGTGAATTCTTTCATGTGTCTTGAGGTTTGATTCATAGCTGAATGTTTTCTCACAGATGAGACACTTCTTCCTTTTCTTTTCTTGTGGTGTTTTTTGACGGACCAGCGTTTTATGGAAAGTCCCACCCCAGAGGGCAGCAGACTTCTTCCTCCCTTTACGTTTTCCCTTTTCTCCCTTTCTTTTCCACCTCTTTGATCCATCTCGATTCCGAACATCCTCTTCTGGCTGTAGGCGTTTCACTCCTTCTGCGGGAAGTTCTCCTCGTTCTCGTAGTTCATCCTCACTCTTCCATACAAATGCTGCTGGAATAAGGAAATATACCCAGTAAGAGCCCAAGAGGATACAATCACCAGTCAAAACAGACAATCATTAGTATGAACCCCACCGAATTTCACAGTGTGTGTGTGTGTGTGTTGTGTTATGTCAAGTCACTTCCAACTCACGGCAACCTCCATAACGTCAATTTCCATAACCTTAATGGCCTCCAAAACATCCTCTCATTAACAGCCTTGCTCAGATTTTAAAAATCGAAGGCTGAGGCTTCCTTGATTGAGTCAACCCATCTCATGTTGGGTCTTCCTCTTTTCCTGCTGCCTTCAACTTTTCCTGGCATTATTGTCTTTTCCTGGCATTATTGTCATCTAGGAAAAATTCAGACTGGATTTGATTTGAGGGCAGGGAGCTGTTCCTGTTGGCAGCAGAGGATAAGACTTGTGATAATGGGTTTAAATTAAGAGTGGCAAGGTACTGGCTGGATACTAGGAAAAACTTTTTTACAGTAAGAGTTGGGCAGCAGTGGAATCAGCTGCCTAGGGAGGTGGTGAGCTCCCCCGCACTGGCAGTCTTTAAGCAGCGGCTGGACAAACACTTGTCAGGGATGCTCTAGGCCATTGGTGGCAAACCTATGGCAAGGGTGCCAGAGGTGGCACTCAGAGCCCTCTCTGTGGGCATGCGTGCCATCGCCCCAGCCAGGCCCAGACCATCATTAAAGTGTTGAATTCTCTGCCAAATAATTTTAAGTAAATGAAAGCATTTGGGATTGATTTCCTTACTTTGTTTGGATCATCTTAAGTTAATGTATGAGTTGTTTTTTCTAAAGTAAAACCTCAGTATTCAGGTTAAATTGCCGTGTTGGCACTTTGCGATAAATAAGTGGGTTTTGGGTTGCAGTTTGGGCACTCGGTCTCTAAACTGGGACAAACTGGGTCCTTCTGCATGCAAATTTACTGTGGCTTCAGCTTTCATGGACTAGCATCCAAATCCTTCAGACAACAGAGGACTTGGCTACCAACCTAAGCACTTACCTGTCGACATCTGCCCTTCCTCAGAGCCTGGGACAAAGAATCCTTCCTCTTGTTCCAACCAGGAGACAAGGTCAGGTTTGCAGATCTGAGACATTTCTGGAAAGCAAGGAATCTGTTATTTCGGGGTCTTCTGACTAGAAAAAGATCCAGAGATTCCAAAACGGCTGGTTTCACAGATGTACTGAAGACCAAGGAAGAGCAGAGGAACATAAGAAGAGCCCCGCTGGATCAGGCCAATAAATAGCCCATCTAATCCAGCATCCTGTCTCACAAAGTGACCAACCGGTTCCTCTGGAGGGCCAACAACAGGGCATAGAAGCTGAGGCTTTCACCTGAAGTTGCCTCCTGGCTCTGGGATTCAGAATCTTAGTGTCTCTGAATGTGGAGGTTCCCCTCAGCCCACCATGGCTAGTAGCCATTGATAGACTTATTCTCCATGAATCTATCTAATCCCCTTTTAAAGCTGTTTATTCCTGTGGCCGTCACTACGTCCTCTGGCAGCGAATTCCACATTTTAATCAGTCTCTGTGTAAAGTAGTATTTCTTTCTGTCTATCCTGAACCTGGAGCTGCGGTGGCTCAAGTGGTTAAGACGCTGAACTGCAGGCTGCGGAAGGTCAGTAGTTCAGCAGTTCGAGACCTGGGTGCCGCATGGAGTGAGCTCCCGTCTCTAGTTCCAGCTCCTGCCAACCTAGCAGTTCGAAAGCAAGAAATTGCAAGTAGATAAATAGGTACCACTTTGGTGGGAAGGTAACAGGTGTTTAGTCATGCCGGCCAGTCCAGTGTTCCCTCTAAGCTGAGTTAGTGTGAGCTAGCTCACCGTTTGGTAGCCTCTGGCTCACAGATTTTTGTCTTCGCTCAGGAAGGATGGCTCCAGAGCAAACTAATTTATGCAGCAGCCAAATCGCTGGCTCACAACTTTAATGCCAGTAGCTCACCAAGTAGAATTTTTGCTCCCAAGACTCCACAGCTTAGAGGGAACATTGCGCGGCCACATGACCACGGAAACGTCTTCGGACACCGCTGGCTCTTCGGCTCGGAAACGGAGATGAGCACCGCAACCCTAGAGTCGGACTCGACTGGCTTTCGAGCAAGGGAAACCTTTACCTTTACCTATCCTGAACCTACTGCCCATCAGCTTCAGTGGATGCCCTCGAGTTCTAGTATTTGGGGAGAGGGAGAAAAAATTCTCTTTTAAGCTGGTGAAAGGTTACATAGAGCACCAACTTTGCATGCAGAAGGTCCCAGGTTCAATCCCCCATATGGGGAATCAAATGCAGCAAAGGTCCATCAGTGGCTATTAGCCACAAGGTATGGACAGAGCAATCTCTCTGGGGCAGTGATGCTGTAATATTCTTGGTGCTTGGGGGGGGGCAACAGGGGAGGGCTTTCAGAGTTCTTGCCCGGCTGGTGGACCTCCTGATGGCCCCTGGGTTTTGACCACTGTGTGACGCAGAGTGTTGGACTGGATGGGCCATGGGATGGTCCAACATGGCTTCTCTTATGTTCTTAAGCTTCATGTGTTGAGGTGAGTCAGCATTGGGTCTCCCCCCCCCCCCCCCGGGGACAAGGGACCGTAGATGTGTGCCAGGCCCGCAGAAGCGGATGTGGAGCAACAAAACACACATAGTTGCTGCCCAAGTCACCTGGTTCCCTATACCATCACCAACAATGGGAGCCATTCATCCCTTTGGCCACTAAGAAAGAAGAAGAAGAGGAGATTGGATTTATACCCCGCCCTTCACTTGGAGTCTCAGAGCGGCTTACAAACTCCTCTCCCTTCCCCTCCCCACAACAGACACCCTGTGAGGTGGGTGGGGCTGAGAGAACTCTTGACAGAAACTGCTCTTTTCCAAGGACAGCTGTGCCAGAGCTTGTGACTGACCCAAGGTCACATCAGCAGGTGCAAGTGGAGGAGTGGGGAATCAAACCCGGTTCTCTCAGATTAGAGTCCACACACTTAACCACTACACCAAAAGGATCCTTACCCAGAGAGGCCACGCTTCCATAATTCTCCAGCATAACTTCCCTGTAGAGAGCTCTCTGGCCGGGATCCAGCAGGGCCCACTCGGCCTCAGTGAAATACACAGCCACGTCCTCAAAGGAAACTGGACACTGAAAGAGACCGGAAATGTTCACACATCATGTTTCGGGCTACATTTTGTGGCTTAGTGAACCCTAATAAGATGTAAAACTGTTTGGGGCAGCGATGCTCTGTATTCATGGTGCTGGGGGGGCCCACAAAGGGAGACTTCTGGAGTTCTGGCCGTGCTGTTGACCTCCTGGGCTTTGGCCACTGTGTGACACAGAGTGTTGGACTGGATGGGTCACTGGACTGATCCAACATGGCTTCTCTTCTGATGTCTTGCTGAGTAATATATACATTTTTATGTGTAATGCATCTTGTTCTTGGAAGACAAAAGGGTCTTCCAGCACCATTCATTTATGGTGGAAAAGAGCTAAGTTCGTAAAAAAGTAGACAAAATTAACCATCTTGGTTCACAGTCAAGGATATAGAGGCAAAAGGCCCATCCTAGTCTGTAGCTCCCCATCTATGTCCAGATCTCAGCCTCTACTGTGCCACAAGCACACATAAGAAGCTGGATCAGACCAGTGGTCCATCTAGTCCAGCATCTGGTCTCACTCAGTGGCCAACCAGTGCCTCTGGAGGGCAAACCACTGGGCATAGAGGCCGAGGCCTTCCTAAGGTCACAAGAAGAGCCCTGCTGGATCAGACCAGAGGTCCATCTAGTCCAGCATCTGGTCTCACTCAGTGGCCAACCAGTGCCTCTGGAGGGCAAACCACTGGGCATAGAGGCCGAGGCCTTCCTAAGGTCACAAGAAGAGCCCTGCTGGATCAGACCAGAGGTCCATCTAGTCCAGCATCTGGTCTCACTCAGTGGCCAACCAGTGCCTCTGGAGGGCAAACCACTGGGCATAGAGGCCGAGGCCTTCCTAAGGTCACAAGAAGAGCCCTGCTGGATCAGACCAGAGGTCCATCTAGTCCAGCATCTGGTCTCACTCAGTGGCCAACCAGTGCCTCTGGAGGGCAAACCACTGGGCATAGAGGCCGAGGCCTTCCTAAGGTCACAAGAAGAGCCCTGCTGGATCAGACCAGAGGTCCATCTAGTCCAGCATCTGGTCTCACTCAGTGGCCAACCAGTGCCTCTGGAGGGCAAACCACTGGGCATAGAGGCCGAGGCCTTCCTAAGGTCACAAGAAGAGCCCTGCTGGATCAGACCAGAGGTCCATCTAGTCCAGCATCTGGTCTCACTCAGTGGCCAACCAGTGCCTCTGGAGGGCAAACCACTGGGCATAGAGGCCGAGGCCTTCCTAAGGTCACAAGAAGAGCCCTGCTGGATCAGACCAGAGGTCCATCTAGTCCAGCATCTGGTCTCACTCAGTGGCCAACCAGTGCCTCTGGAGGGCAAACCACTGGGCATAGAGGCCGAGGCCTTCCTAAGGTCACAAGAAGAGCCCTGCTGGATCAGACCAGTGGTCCATCTAACCCAGCATCCTGTCTCACTTAGTTGCCAACCAATTCTTCTGGAGGGCCAACCACAGGGCATAGAGGCTGAGGACTTCTTCCATGTTGCCTCCTGGCTCCGGGATTTGGAGGCTCCCTTTAGTCACGGCTAGTAGCCCCTGATGGGCCTCTCCTCCATGAATCTGCCTAGTGCCCTAGAATGACTAGAGTCTCACCTCTTTCCGCTTTGTCTGGGCCTCTCGCTGCCTCAGCAGGCACTCCTCTGCCAGGACGACTGCCCGGGACAGGGTCTCTGGTCCATGTTCCCTGACCCAGCTCTGAATCTCGGACGGAAGGCTGTACAGGAACTGCTCCAGGATCATCTGCTCCAGGATCTGCTCCTTCAAGGGCCTCTCTCCCATCATCCACTGGTGACAAAGTTCATGGAGCCAGTTGGCAGTCCCTCTTGGGCCCTTGTGATTTTCATCCATGGTGCCCCTCTGCAAGATGGCTGCCTTTGCCTTCGCACAATCCTCTTTGCCGCTGGTCTCCAGGATACTAAAGGCCCGCTTGGCTTCCTCACTGAGGGCTGGCTGTAGTCGGCTTACCCACTCATCCTGGGGCCACTGGCAGGCCTTGGCTACTTGCTCGAAGGAAGCCAGAAAGGTCTTTGCATCATCCCACGGGGTTGACTCCTTTGGCCCTTGTGGAACTTCCCCATGGGACAAAGGAGACTTGGTCTTTAGGGGCTGCAGAAGTGAACTCTCACATGGTTCATGTTCCAGTTCTTCCTGGGGTTTCCTTTGCAGGAATTCCCAAATGTTGCCAGTTTGGAGGCCATGAGGGACTTTCCTTACTCCTTCAGACCCCTCCTCAGACACAGGGCCTACAGGGTCTTGTTCTTCCATCTTCTGGTCTTGTTCTTCCATCTTCTTCCTTGAGTGACCACACCAAAATAGTGTTGCTCTATCAAGTGAATTACAGTCACTCAAACTGGCATTGTGAACTTTTGTTGGGGCAAGGGAAGAGATGGAATGAGGAAAAACCGAAAAGTAGTCCTTTGATAACGGTGTCTTCCCCTTTGTGGAAATACAGACCAAATATCAAATATCTGCAAAGGATATATAAATTGTAATTGGTATATATCGTTTTCTTTTGGATGTACATAATTTCAAGTTCTCATCAAAAATGCTTATGCTTTCTTTTATTTTAATTTTTTAATTTTAATATTATTTTCATTATTTATACCTCATCTTTCTTCCTAATGGGGACTCACCCATTCTCCTCTCCTCCATTCTATCCTCACAACAACCCTGCGAGGTAGGTTAGGTTGAGAGTGTGTGACTGACCCAAGGTTACCCAGCAAGCCTCCATGGCAGAGTGAGGACTGATCTTTACTGTCCTGTCCTGGGATGCGTACACAGCTTGCCCAGTAATTCACAATACCATAATTTCATCCATATACACATATCACAAATGATGGTGCTTCAGACTATCAGTCAAGGTTGCCAACAAGCCTGGAGAAAAATGTCCTCTCCCTTTTAATAGAGAGCCAATTTGGTGTAATGGTTAGGAACGCAGACTCTACTCTGGGAGAACCGGGTTTGATTCCCCACTCCTCCACTTGCAGCTGCTGGTGTGATCTTGGTTCAGTTAAAAGTTCTCTCAGAGCTGTTCTCTCAAGAGCAGTCCTCAAAGGAGCTCTCTCAGCCCCACCTACCTCACAGGGTGACTGTTGTGGGGAGGGGAAGGGAAAGGAGATTGTAAATCACTCTGAGACTCCTTCAGGAAGTTGAGAGCGGGGTATAAATCCAGTCTCTTCTCTTCTTCTTCTAATGTGTGGAACCGGGCAGATGAAACTTTTCATGGCAGGAGGGAAAGAACAACACCTGTTAAGCTAAGCTTTGACACAATAACAAAGGTTTAGGTGCTAGACTCATGACCAGTGTTCCCTCTAAGCTGAGTTAGTGTGAGCGAGCTCACAATTTTTTAGCCTCCAGCTCACACACTTTTGCCTTGGCTCAGGAAGGAGGGCTCCTGTATGCTGTAGCCAAATCACTGGCTCACAACTTTAAAGCCAGTAACTCACAAAGCAGAATTTTTGCTCACAAGACTCCAAAGCTTAGAGGGAACATTACTCATGACCATATTTTCTAATTATTGTGACCACAAATCCTACAGTTTCCTGTAATTTTATTCAAGCTCTAAAGTATCATAGTATATAAATAAAATCTGGGGGGTAACTCTGGCTGCCATCATAATAAAGGTAAAGGTAAAAGTTTCCCTTGCTCAAAAGCCGGTCAAACTCTGACTCTAGGGGGTGGTGCTCATCTCTGTTTCCACTGAGGTCCCTGTCCTCCTAAAGCTCCATCCCCAAATCTCCCAACCTGGAGCTGGCAACCCTACCCCCCATTCCCCACCGGTGGCCACGGGGGACCTGGCACCCCTAGGCCAGGGGTGGGGAGCTGCCCCCCAGTTGGACCAGCTCGTCTCCTAACTGGACCCCAACTTCTTCACCAACTTGAAGGGTTGCTGATTTTGGTACGGGGAAATGCTAGATTTGCCTGGAGAGAGAGTCAAGTGGGGAATGTAACACCAAACAGTCCGCCCTCTGGAGTCGTCATTTCCTCCAGGAGAACAGATCTCTGTAGCCTGGAAATGAGTTGCTGATAGAGGGAGCTCTCTGAATCCCAGGGCTGAGGGGGCACGATCGGGAGGCAGCCTCCAGCCTCTATGCCCTTTTGTTAACCCTCCAGGGCAAGTAGATGGCCACACAGGATGCTGGACTAGATGGACCCTGGATCTGACCCTGCATGGCTGTTCTTTAGTTATGCTGGAGCAATTCCTGCATTTGCCTTTAAATGGGACGACAGGGGGGGGGGGGATGCTGTGTGAGAATGCAAGCTTTTTGGGGCACAGACCTGTCCTCTTAATTCCACCCCGGCCAGCTCCATGAGCAGACTGTTCAACAGTAGTGAATTTAGGGTTGCCAGGTCCTCCCCGGCCACTGGTGGGGGATGGGAGGATAGGGTTGCCAGATCCAGGTTGGGAAACTCCTGGAGATTTGGGGATTGATCTTTAGGAGGACAGGGACCTCAGTGGGGGCCAATGCCATAGAATCCACTCCCCAAAGTATCCATTATTTTCTCCGGGGGGTACTGATCTCTGTAGTGTGGAGACGAGGGGATCCCCAGGTCTCGCCTGGAGGCTGGTATCCCTTTGGGGATGTGGGAAGAACTGGACAGGAGGGAACGCAGGGCCTGCCATGATGGGGGGGGGGGGGTTAAAGGAATGGGGGGGGCGTTCATCCCCTAATTTCCCGCCCCCCCCCCCCACCATTGCAGACACCCTCCATCCTGCATGTTCCAAAAACCTCCCCATTCAGATCTGGAAGAACAGCGATGCTTTTGCTATTAGGGCCTAATAAAGGTGTCCCCTTACTGTTACCTGGGGATTCCCCCCCCCCAAAAAAAAAGGGTACCTGCAGCTTCCATCTCCTGAGGCCAGCCGCTCTCCACCCTCTCTTTCTGCCACTGCAGAAAAATGCAAAGCGGACACCCCCCTCCCCTTAGCAGAAAGGGGGGCGTCTGGCTGCCCATTCTCTGCTGCCCTCTCTAGGAAGCGAAACTCTGTGGATTTAACCCTCCCTCTATTGCAGCGCAATAGAGGATTCAGTCGGAAAGTCACAGCGTTCCGTGCGCCTTGGTGTTTAGTCATGCCGGCCACATGACCACGGAAATGTCTTCGGACAGCGCTGGCTCTTCGGCTTTGAAACGGAGATGAGCACCGCAACCGTACAGTCGGACTCGACTGGCTTTCGAGCAAGGGAACCTTTACCTTTACCTATTGCAGCGCAGATGGGCAGCCGAAAAACATTCCTTTGGGTTTCCAGGAAAAGTCCCAGCCGGACAGCTAGAAGAGGGGATTCAGGCCCCGCCCCCCAGCCTGAGGTTCTGCGAGATTTGGGGGAATTGTTAAAAAAAAGAAAATAAAGAAAGATGGGCATTTAGAGGACGGGCTGCACCTATCATTCTAGTACTGACTTTACAAAAGAAATCCCCAAAGTCTTTGTGGCCGAGGGGAGATGGCTGCTTCCAGGGAATTGGGGCAGGGAAACTGCGGGGGAAACCTGCCATGTGGAGGTGGAAACCCCTTGCATGCCACGCTTTTTCTACCCCTGCACCGACAACGGGGACTTTATTGAATGTACTTTACTGAAATGTCAGGGGGAAAGCACTGTGCAGTACATATGACATTCTTGTTGTAGTGCATTCAAAGCTGCTTTGAATGCATGATATGTTGTGAAACATCTAATTGAAGTGTAATGTAAAGCTTCGTCCTGGGCTAGGATCCAAATTCATCCAATGGTGTTACTAGCCCAGGAAGCACCTAACCAATCACTTTCATGCAATCACTTTTATGTCTCCCATCCTCCCATTTTATTTTCACAACAAGCCTGTGAGGTAGGCTAGGCTGAGAGGGTGTGGCCGGCCCACGGTCACCCAGTAAGCTTCCACAGCAAAATGGGCACTTGAACCTGGGTCTCCCAGATGATAGTTCAACCCTGTAACCACTACGCCAACATGGTGTAGTGTTTAAGAGCAGCAGATTCCCCACTCCTCCGCATGAAGCCAGCTGGGTGGCCTTGAGTCAGTCACTGCTCTTTCGGAGCTCTCTCAGCCCCCCCAAATAAGTCTGACTCACCACCTAGTGATGCATAACGGTAAAAAGAGTTAGAACTTAAGGCAGCCAGACAATCTTTGGAGCTCCTGGCTGTAGTACACACAATGCCATTTGATAATTATTACTACTACTACACCATGCTGGCTCTCAAGAGAGAGAGAAGCCAGTTTCTAGGTTCTCCCAGTTTGGTGTAGTGGTGAAGTGCGCGGACTCTAATCTGGGAGAACCGGGTTTGATTCCCCACTCCTCCACTTGCACCTGCTGATGTGACCTTGGGTCAGTCACAAGCTCTGGCACAGCTGTCCTTGGAAAAGAGCAGTTTGTGTCAGAGTTCTCTCAGCCCCACCCACCTCACAGGGTGTCTGTTGTGGGGAGGGGAAGGGAAAGGAGATTGTAAGCCGCTCTGAGACTCCAAGTGAAGGGCGGGGTATAAATCCAATCTCTTCTTCTTCTTCTTCTTCTGTGACACTCTGTTACGACCAAGATCAAGATGGGTAGCCGTGTTAGTCTGTCTGTAGCAGCAGAAAAGAGCAAGGGCCCAGTAGCACCTTAGAGGCTAACACGATTTGTGGCGGGTAGGAGCTTTCATGAGTCACTGCTCATTTCTTCACATCTGAAGAGGTGACTCACGAGAGCTCCTTTCCTGCCACAAATGTTGTTAGTCTTCAAGGTGCTACTGGACTCTTGCTCCTTTCTACCCCAGGAGGGCAGAGTAGTGAATAATAAGATCAGGGGTCATTTCCTGCAGGAGCGCACAGGAGCGGAGCTCCGGCAGTAAAGAGCCCAAGGGGCGGGCACATGCAACAAGCCCCACCCACTGCTCCCAGCAGCCCTCAGTCAGAGCAAGAAGCAGCCAGGTAAGCTGCAGAGCCCCCCCGGATCCCCCAGTCAACAGTCCAGTGGCACCTTTAAGACCAAGTTTTATTCAGGTACAAGCTCTCCTTCCTCTGGACAGATCTGCACGTTCCCCCCCCCAATAGCTAGCAATCCAAAACGGTCCAGTGGCGCCTGAGCAGTGGGTGTTGCCTTCTGACACACTTCCCGGTGAGGTCAGGGGGTGTGGCACATGCAAATCAGTTATGCTAATGAGTTATGCGAATGAGCTCCTGCACCTCTCTTTCTACGAAATGACCCCTGAATAAGATAGATCAAGATGGGTCGCCGTGTTCGTCTGTCTGTAGCAGTAGAAAAGAGCAAGAGCCCGGGAGCACCTTAAAGGCTAACAAGATTTGTGGCAGGGGAGGAGCTTTCCCGAGTCACGGCTTCACTTCTTGGGATACCTTTCATGAGTAGGGGACACATGACAGCTCCACCCCCTGCCACAAAGTTTGTTAGTCTTTAAGGTGCTCCTGGGCTCTTGCTCTTTTCTTGTGACCAGGGGTCGTTTCGTAGAAAAAGAGCTAGGGGAACTCATTAGCATATGCCACACCCCCTGACATCACCGGAAGTGTGTCATAAGGCCACACACCCCGCCCCCAACGGTCCCGGCCACCGCAGCCCTTGCAGCTCCACTGCCGAGCCCCATGAGGGACCCGGTGGTAGACCTGCAAGGCCGGCGGGAGTGCGAGGAAGCCCCGCGAAGGCCCTCCCTGGCCCCAGGCAGGCAGGGGTGGGGAGAGGCAGGGAGGAAGCAACTTACCCTCCCTCTTCTCCTGCCTCCTCCTGGCTGAATGAGGAAGAAAAGGACACCCAAGACTGCGAGCTGGCGCCCAGTTTGGGAATGGTGCCAAGCAGACCCTGGGGTCACTCAGGTAGGTTCAGGTTGCCCCCTCCATTGTCGTCCCTTCTTCATGTTCTCACACACAAATGAGCAACGGTCCTTTGTTAGATACAGCTTTATTCTGTCTGTCTGAGAAGAGGCTCGGGGCTGCGTGTGTGGCTCACTCCGCTTCTGCTTTGTCCTCACAACAACCCTATGAGGTAGACGAGGCTGAGGAATGCCCAAAGTCATCATGCTGAATTTCATGGCTGGAGCAGGGATTTGAACCTGGGTCTTGCTGATCTCAGTCCAATACTCTAACCACCACATCACTCTGTCGTGTAGCCCCAGCATGCAGGAGGAAGTGAAGCATCAGAGACAACAATGAGGTAAAGATCCTCCCATTCCTACACTGGGAAACCCAAGCTTCCCTTGACAGATTACACAAAATGTGTGTCTGGTACAGATTTTTGCGCAGCCAGTACCCACCGACCCAAGTGTCCGTGCAATATATAGGCATTCAGTTCTAAACATATACACTCCTCTCTCTCTTTCTCTCTCTCCCTGACCTTAAGAACATAAGAGCCCTGCTGGATTAGACCCATAGTCCCTCTAGCCCAGCATCCTGACTCACACAGTGGCCAGCCAGTTCCTCTGAATGGCCAACAACAGGGCAGAGAGGCTGAGGGCTTTTATAAGAACATAAGACCTGCTGGATCAGACCCACAGTCCCTCTAGCCCAGCATCCCGTCTCACACAGTGGCCAGCCAGTTCCTCTGAATGGCCAACAACAGGGCAGAGAGGCTGAGGCCTTCATAAGAACATAAAAACAGCCCTGCTGGATCAGACCAGTGGTCCATCTAGTCCAGCATCTTGTCTCACACAGTGGCCAACCCGTTCCTCTGGAGAGCCAACAACAGGGCAGAGAAGCCGAGGCCTTCATAAGAACAGAAGAAGAGCCCTGCTGGATCAGACCAGTGGTCCATCTAGTCCAGCATCCTATCTCGCTTAGTGGCCGTCCAGTTCCTCTGGAGGGCCAACAACAGGGCACGGAGGCTGAGACCTTCCCCTCCTGGCTCTGGGATTCAGAAGTTTAGTGCCTCTGAATGTGGAGGTTCCTCTCAATTATCATGGCTAATAGCCATTGACAGACTTATCCTCCATGAATCTATGTAAATAAGAACATAGGACCTTACATGACAACTTGCACTGGCGTTAATAAATAAACTTAAAACAGGAAAATGTGTGTACATCTTGTGTCACTGGCAATTCTTTCCCTTTGCTTATAGCATCATAATGTACAAGTGCCTTGCTGGATCCCGGCCCCCGCCGTGCAGGGCTCTTTTTGTAGCAGGTACTCATTTGCATATTAAGCGACACACCCCTAATGTAGCCAATCCTCCAAGAGCTTACAGTAGCTCCTGTACGAAGAGCTCTGTAAGCTCTTGGAGGATTGGCTACATTAGGGGGTGTGGCCTAATATGCAAAGGAGTTCCTGCTACAACAAGAGCCCTTTAAGACCCATCTCTTTTCACATCCAGTCTCCCACCAAGGGCCAGCCAGAACCAAGTCTGTCAGCTTGTCTCAGGATGGGTCGTTTTGGACATATTTGATCCATCTGATGACCAGTAACGATGGAACCCCAAAGATCTCAAATCTGTTTGCAGTTCAGGCCAGCCCTGTAGGATTTTTGACTCACTGCCACCACTTGGGCCTGGTGTCATCGGTGATGTGGGTAGATGGAGATTTCCAATCCTATGCAATGCCTATCTAGCTTAAAAGTTGTGTGTGTTTGGTTTTTTACACAATAAAACTTTGAATCGGTCGTTCTCTCAAGTGCCAACATTTCCTCTTCCCCTTGCACTGATACTCTTCAGAAGGATTGTGTACATGTTTGGTTTCCTACACGATAAAACTTCGAATCCGTCACTTCCTCAGGTGCCCACACATCCTCTTCCTTCCGGATGAAACGGGGCAGTGAATTCCTGCCGAAGCATGAAGGCCGAACTCTTCACGGAAGTCAGCATGAATGCGGAACTCTTCACAGACAACATTTTGCTGTGGACACTGGACTCATTTCCGACGGCAGGGCCCACTTCAGCGGCCCGCTCTTGATCCGCTGAACAACAGGAGGAAGGAGACGCAATGGGACAGTAATAAAAGTGGTGAATACTGCATGAGGGCCTTTCTTCCCCTTATCCCCAAAGGCTCTTTTCACTATGAGGTGAAATGTCGCACAGACTCAAACGGGAGCAGCAGCCTCTCTTCCCTTCCTCCTCCCCGTCATGAGTTTTTCGAAGGACGTGTTTCCCTCAGAGCAGACCCCTCAAGTGCTGGCCTTGCCGTTGCTGTGAACACTCTGGTGCCGAATGAGGTGAGCCTTGCGGATGAAATCCCGCCCGCAGGCCAGGCATTTGTAAGGCTTCACCCCGGCATGGATCCGCTTGTGGTTGATCAGCCCGGAGCCGGAGTGGAAGCGGCTCCCGCACTGGGAGCACTTATAGGGCTTCTCCCCAGTGTGGGTCCTCTCGTGGACGGTGAGGAGCGAGTTGCGGCTGAAACACTTCCCGCAGGAGGGGCACTTGAAGGGCTTCTCTCCCGTGTGGCTTCTCTTGTGGACGAGGAGGTGCGAGCTCTGGCTGAAGGTCTTCCCACAGAAAGAGCACTTGTACGGCTTCTCGCCCGCATGGCTCCGCTGGTGGTAAATGAGGCCTTGGCGTGAGTGGAAGCTGCTCCCACACTGCGTACACTTGTAGGGTTTCTCCAAGTCATGGGTCCTCTGGTGGAATTTAAGGTGGGAACTCTGGCCGAAGGTTTTGTTGCAGATGGAGCATTTATTGTAGGGCTTCTCCTGACCAGGCACACTTTCCCCTTTGGGAAGGGCCGAGTTCTGTCTGAAGCCTTCCGCCAAAGCCCCACTCAAGTTCTGCATCTGCGGCGGCACGGTTTCATTGAGGGTCTTTTTGTTTGGTGTGGAAGGAACGGAGACCACCAGTCTGTTCCTGGTGCGGTTCCCTGGCTGGATCTTTGGCCTGTGCTGATTCTGAGAAACGGTTCCCGGCTCGTGTCCGGGAAAACCGCTCTCGGGGGCTCTCCTTTGGCATGTCCAGACTGCTTCCAGTTGCCCAGGTCTTTCCTGTCGATCATTCACTTGGCTGTAACCTGCAGGATGAGAAGGAAGGAAAAGACTCTTGATGCAGTCAGCGGCAAGGGAGGGGGCTGTGGCTCAGAGGTAGAGCACCCGCGGGGCATGCGGAAGGTCCCAGGATCAATCCCCAGCATCTCCAGCTGAAAGGGTGGAGATCCTTCCTAACTACAAAAGTTACAAAAGCCTTCTTCCATCTCCTTCTCCGTGACACTTGACTTTTATACTTGAGGCTATGTCATCTTTGCATCATTTCCATTCCACCAGTTACAGAGCATGGCTACTCAGTACATCCAATCAACCGCAGAAGTTTGCCAGCACGTCTAAGAATCTCTCTACTGAGAGAGAGATCTTGAAGTTGTAGTAGATAACTCACTGAAAATGTCGAGACAGTGTGTGACTGCAATAAAGAAGGCCAATGCTATGCTGGGGGTTATTAGGAAGGGTATTGAAAACAGATCAGCCAGTATCATAATGCCCCTATATAAATCAATGGTGCGACCTCATTTGGAATACTGTGTGCAGTTCTGGTCACCACACCTTAAAAAGGATATTATAGCTTTGGAAAAAGTGCAGAAAAGGGCAACTCGAATGATAAAAGGGTTGGAACACTTTCCCTATGAGGAAGGGTTAAAGCGCTTAGGGCTCTTTAGCTTGGAGAAACGGCGACTGAGGGGTGACATGATTGAGGTTTATAAGATTATGCATGGGAAAGAGCAGGTAGAGAAAGAGGTACTTTTCTCCCTTTCTCACAATACAAGAACTCATGGGCACTCCATGAAACTGCTGAGCCGTCGGGTTAGAACGGATAAAAGGAAGTACTTCTTCACCCAAAGAGTGATTAACACATGGAATTCACTGCCACAGGAAGTGGTGGCGGCTACAAGCATGGATGGCTTCAAAAGGGAATTAGATAAGCATATGGAGCAGAGGTCCATCAGTGGCTATTAGCCACAAGGTATAGATAGGGGCTCTGGGGCAAGTGATGCTCTGTCTTCTTGGTGCTCGGGGGGGTCAACAGTGGGAGGGCTTCTAATGTCCTGGCCCCACTGGTGGACCTCCTGATGGCACCTGGTATTTCTGGCCACTGTGTGACACAGAGTGTTGGACTGGATGGGCCTTTGGCCTGATCCAACATTGGCATCTCTTATGTACTTATGTTATGTTCTTACTTTCCCGCATTCTTTGAGTTCTTTATCTACTGATAAGAGCCAGGTGAAACTGCTTCTGAAACAGGAACACACAAAGCTGCTTTACACTGAATCAAACCCTTGATCCGTCGACATTCAGTATCATCTACTCAGCGGCTCTCCAGGGCAATGCTCCCTCCAAGCTGTGGAGTCTTGTGCGCAAAAAGTGTGCAAAAATCCTACTTTGTGAGCTACTGGCATTATTAAAGTTGTGAGCGAGCAATTTGGCTACTGCATAAATGAGTTTGCTCAGGAGCCATCCCTTCCTGAGCGAAGACAAAAATGTGTGAGCCGGAGGCTAAAAAACTGTGAGCTAGCTCACACTGACTCAGCTTAGAGGGAACACTGCTCCAGGGTCTCAGGCAGAAAAGGATCGTTCACATCACCTGCTGGTTGATCCTTTTAACTGGAGTTACCGGGGATTGAACCTGTGACCTTCTGCATGCCAAGCAGCAGCTCTACCACTGAGCCACAGCCTCTGCCTTTAATGCCACAGCTCAGTTACTACCAGGAGGTAGGCGGAACATGCATATTACTCTGGTCCTGCAGTCAATCCTTTGGCTGCCCATCAGTTACCTAAGGGGCTGCTCTCGCTGTCTCTCTCCCGCTTGGCGTCCTGGTGAGGCTGGCCCTGGCTGGGATCCAGGGGAGAGGCCTCCGCCTCTGGAAAGCTCTCAGCTCCCTCCTCCAATGGCATCAGTTCCTGAAAACAGCCATAAAGTCCAATTTTAGCAAGAGGAGGACAGAACATCAGGCTCGACCAATCAAAGTCATCACCTCTTTGGCCCAGCACGCTCTTTCTAACATAGGACAGTGGGATGCTTCCGGAAAGCCCACAAACAAGGCAGAAATTAGGGTTGCCAACTCCAGGTTAGGAAATTCCTGGCTATCCAAGGAGGGAGAATGTGGAGGGCAGGGTTTGGGGAGGGGAGGGACTAGAGCTGGGTATGACGCCACAAAGCCCTCCCTCTACAGCTGTCCTTTTCTCCGTGGGATCTCTGTCATCTGGAGGCATTTTCGGTGGCGGCTCCTACCTGGTGGAAGGAGCTCCTGGAAGAGATCCGGGCCCTGCGGGACCTTTCTCAGTTCCCGAGGGCCTGCAAGATGGAGCTCTTCCGCCAGGCCTTTAAGTAGGAGCCACCGCCACCACTATTCCACCTCCGCCTCCTGTGCACTGTCGTATTACCATCATGATTGTTTGGTCCCTACGGGGGGAGCGGGGTGCCTGGGCACGGATTGGATGATAAGATCTCAGGGAGCTGCTATGGAGGTTAAGATCTACCCATCTTGGTTCAATCTGTATTGCAAATTAGTTACTGTATTTTATTGCAATGTATTGTTTTTAAAATTATGTGTTTATTGTTGTAACCTTGTCAGCCGCCCTGAGCCTTCGGGGTAGGGCGGGATAGAAATCCAAATATAAATAAACAAACAAACTGTTATTCCAGGCAAACTCCAGACTACCTGGAGGTTGGCAACCCCGCTTTCTCTGCGGCGTTCCCTGCCTCTCACCTGATGCTCCCTTCTCTCAGTTTCCTGCTGCCTCCGCAGGAACTCCTCGGCAAGGACCACCGCCTGGGAACAGGTATCTGGCCCGCATTCCCTCACCCAGCTCTGGATCTCGGATGGCAGGATGCTGAGGAACTGCTCCAGGATCAGCAGCTCCAGGATCTGCTCCTTGGTGTGCCGCTCGACCTTCAGCCACTGACGGCAGAGCTCCTGGAGTCGGCTGTGAGCCCCTCTCGGTCCATCGGCCTCCTGGTAGCAGAAGCGCCGGAAGTGCTGGCGCTGCTTCTCCCGGCTGAGGGCGTCCCCCCGCAAGATGGCCGCCTTCAGCTTCCCGTAGTCTCCCTTGTCCCTCACGTCCAAGCCACTGAAGGCCCACTCAGCCTGCCCACTGAGGGCCGGCAGGAGTCGGGCCACCCACTCTCCCCTGGGCCACTGGCAGGCTTTGGCCACTTGCTCAAAGGAGGCCAAGAAAGCCTTGGCGTCATCCCAGGGGGTGGGCTCCTCTGGCAGGGGCGGGATTCCCCATCCCGAATGAGGAGACTCCACTTCCTTCAGGAACTGCTGCCACTGAACCTCCCAGCGCTGGAGGAGGCCTTCGCCGGGTTCTTGTTTCACCTTTTGCTGCGCCGGTGTCCTTTTGGAGAATTTCCTGAGGCTCCCAGATTGGAGGACATGAGGGGTTTTGCCTGGCCCGTCTGGCACGCCCACCGTTCTGAGGCCTAGCGGTTCATCCATTTCCAAGCCAGCAATACCTTTGTGGCCTCTCACGGTCTTTCCCTGGATTCAAGAGGAAGATACAGAAGAGGTCACAGGATCTGGAGGCTGGGGAGGTAGTTTCTTTCTTTCTGGTGGAAGGAGACAGGAAAGGGAACAAGAGGGAATGAACATTAACAAGGCATGAACACATGAATCTACCTTTTCCAGAAGAGGGTTGCCAGTCTCCAGGAGGGGCCTGGAGATCCCCTTTCCCAAAACCTGTGATTAAGAGTTCAATTTCAACAGGTGACTGAACTGGGGGGCCTTCCGCATATAAAGTGAGTGCTTGACCACGGAGTTCTGATCATCTGCCTTAGCAACTCCCCACCCCCACCCCCACCCCAGCACAGATGGCTTACAAACGTCGTCTATTTCCACAATGTCTATTTCCACTTTTTCCAACTTGTGTCAATGGGAACTCCTGGCTCCTGCTTTCCATAACTCAGCCTTAGCGCATGAGGGAAAGACCCCCCCTCCCCACCTGGAGTGAGTGTACTGGTAAAACGGTTGGGCTGTGAACACATGAAGCTGCTTTATACTGAATCAAACCACTGGTCCATCGGGGTCAGTACTTTTCTACTCAAACTGGCAGTAGGTCTCCAGGATCTCAGGCCGAGGTCTTTCACATCACCTACTGCCAGGTCCTTCTTAACTGGGGGTGCCGGGGGTTAAACCTGAAACCATCTGCATGCCGAGCAGAGGCTAGGAGCTATATTGAACCCCACCCCCCACCCCCCAAATTCCCACTGTGGTTTCTCACGACATCCTCTTTCTGTCTCCAGACTCTCACAAACAGCAACAAGGGGTAATCTCTGGGCAGGGGTTTTTTGGTAGAAAAAGCCCAGCAGGAACTCATTAGCATAACAGGCCACACCCAACAACGGAAACTCATTAGCATATCCAGCCACACCCATGAGAGCATAGCTCATTAGCACATTAGGACGCACCCCCATGTTACCAGAAGTATAGTCATCCAGCCACACCCACCTTTTGCTTCTTATTCTGTTTACCTTTTTTGTTGTCAAAACCCAGGGCTTTTTTGTAGCAGGAACTCCTTTGCATGTTAGGCCACACCCCTAATGTAGCCAATCTTAATGAGTTTCTGCTGTTGGGTGTGGCCTATTATGCTAATGAGTTCCTGCTGGGCGTGGTCAACTTGGGGGCCAGCCGGAACTCCGTTCCTGTGCGTTCCTGCCCCAAAATAGCTCTGTCTCTGGGTAAAACCACTATAAATGGGGTTGTGTTTTTTTCCCCCACATCGAACACAGTGCATGAAAGCATTTCTTGCATGTCGAAAAACCAGCATTCAAGGCTACCTTATTTCTCCCTGGATGCTAGGTTTCTATGTGATTTCTTTTCAGGGTGGAAGCACATTTAGCCAGTGGGTTGTCCACTCCAAGTTGGGAAAAGACCTGGAGATTAGGGGGTGGAGCCCAGGGGGCAGGGTTTGGGAAGGGGGAGGGACCTCAGGGGCACATAATGCCACAGTTTCCCCCCCTGAAGCTGCCATTTGCTCCGGGGAGAACCATTTGCTTTCGTCTGGAGACCACCTGCAATCCCAGGAAATCTTCCAGGAACTGGCAACCCTCCTGGAAACCAGTGTTTTTGTTCTGAATTGGCCCAACCCATACATAGACTGACCGCCTCTGTAAGACCTTCAGAGTTGACTCCCTCCCAGGGAGGGAGATTTTGGGGGTGAATCCTGGGGAGAGCAGGGTTTGGGGGCGGGGGAGAGACCTCAGCAAGGTATAATGCCATACAGTCCACGCTCTGAAGCAACAATATTCTCCAGGGGAACTGATCATGATAATCTGGAGATCAATTGTAATAGCAAGAGATCCCCAGGTGCCACCTGGAAGTTGGCAACCCAACTCCCTCCCCCTGTAAAACAATATCCCTGCACAGCTAGAAAACCACCATGTCAGGGTTAGGACCTATCTCCTTGACACACTACCTTTCTGTGTGCAGGGAATCCTTTTGGCAGGAGCACCATCCTTCTGTATGAACTAATACAGACCATAAGCGCGCTGATCACTTCTGTCTGAGGACCCAGCCCTGGTGGTGGTGGTGGGTTTTTGGGGTTTTTTTTGCAAACTTTCTGCTTTACCCAATTTCCCCTCCTCCTTTTAACTCACCCAATTTCCCAGAATCAGGATTGTCGCTCTGCAAGCTCTGACACGAAACTCTGTGTACTAACTGCAATGCAAGATAAGAAAGTGTCAAAAAAATACAGCCCCAAATAAAAACAAAATCCAGTTTCCGGCTGGAGGGGCAAAGAAGACCGAGCGGGAGGAGGGGCTTTCACTGTTTACATCCTGGATCAGCTCTGACTACTTCCCTTGTACCCTCTCTAGGAATTAAATCTTCCCGGGAAATCTATAGGTTTAACTACTGAAAGACCAGTCCCATGTAGTAATGTTAGTGGGAAAATGACACCTTAACCTTTTTCCTGTTGTCTAACATTTTATTGTTGACATTTGTATCTCCCTTTTATTTATTTGGCAAATGGCTCCTCCAGAGACTTGCTGGAGGTGGCTCACGGAATAAAAAAACAACACGACCAAACCAACAACATAAAGAAGTATTGATATTAAAACAGGTGTTCAAAACACATTTCATGCATGATATTGTTGTAATTCTTACAGAAAGCCATATTGGTAGAAATTCAGTAGACAGCTCTCTCCATAGCGAGTATTTTTATTTTGGCATATATTTTATGGTTTATTTTAGCACAGATAGATCAAGATGTTAGTCTGTCTGTAGCAGTAGAAAAGAGCAAGAGTCCAGGAGCACCTTAAAGGTAAAGGTTCCCTTGCTCGAAAGCCAGTCGAATCCGACTCTAGGGTTGCGGTGCTCATCTCCGTTTCAAAGCCGAAGAGCCAGCACTGTCCGAAGACGTTTCCGTGGTCATGTGGCCGGTATGACTAAACACCAAGGCGCACGGAACGCTGTTACCTTCCCACTGAAGTGGTCCCTATTTATCTACTTGCAATTTCTTGCTTTCGAACTGCTAGGTTGGCAGGAGCTGGAACTCCGTCATGTGGCACCCAGGTCTCGAACTGCTGAACTGTCTTAACCACTTGAGCCACCGCAGCACCTTAAAGACTAACAAAATTTGTGGCAGAGGAGGAGCTTTCCCAAGCCACTGCCCGGTTCTTTTGAAGTGAGCAGTGACTCAGGAAAGCTCATCTCCTGTCACAAATTTTGTTAGTCTTCAAGGTGCTCCTGGACTCTTGCTCTTTTTTATTAATACATACAGATAGCAAAATAATTCGAATTAATGGCTATATGTCAGGATGCCAACTTTTTAGCATTTTTTCTGATGCCTAGCATAGCCATTTAATCTGCAGAATCTGGATGAAAGGTCTACAGATAGCTACTAACCATAGTGACCGAGGGGAACCTCCATGTTCAGAGGCACTAAGTCTCTGGATCCCAGAGCCAGAAGGCAACATCAAGGAAAGCCTCAGCCTCTATGTCGTGTTGTTGGTCATCCAGAGGAACTGGTTGGCCACTGTGTGAGACAGGATGCTGGACTACATGGACCATTGGTCTGATCCAGCAGGTCTCTTCTTATGTTCTTATAGATTCATGGAGGATAAGTCTAACAATGGCTACTAGCCATGGGGACTGAAGGGGACCTCCACATTCACAGGCACTAAGTCTCTGAATCCCAGAGCCAGGAGGCAACCTCAGGAGAAGACCTCGGCCTCTATGCCCTGTTGTTGGCTCTCCAGAGGAAGTGGTTGGCCGCTGTGGGAGACAGGATCCTGGGTAAGATGGACCATTGGCCTGCTTCAGCAGAGCTTTTCTTATGTTCTTAGAAAGCAACTGCTGAGATGCCTATAGCTACTTCACATCTCTCACCCCTCATCAGGAGGTCCACCAGCAGGGCCAGAACTCCAGAAGCCCTCCCACTGTTCCCCCCCCCCAAGCACCAAGACTACAGAGCATCACTGCCCCAGACAGAGTGTTCCATCTATACTTTGCGGCTCATAACTACTGATGGACCTCCACTCCATACGTTTATCCAGTCCCCTCTTAAAGGCCTGGGTGTGAATCTTCATTCTGCCACAAACTTATTCAGAAGTTCTTGGTGAACTGCTCATTCTCTTGCAATATGAGCAATGTACTTGTGAGCATTACCTTTTCATCACGTATATGAAATCCTTTGAGGGTTTGCATGTTTTTAATGCTCGAAGCAGCCTGTGAGAAACACTAAAACACAACACCCTTAATGACAAGCAAAATGTGTGGCATGGGATGAGCTTTCCTGAGTCACTGCTCACTTTTTCAGATATAGCTAAAATGTGAGTCCCTCTGTCCTTACGTGTTGTTGTGAGGAGAAAAGGGAGGAGAGAATGACACAAGCCACTCAGGGTCCCCACTGGAGAGAAAAGCAGGGTATGAATAAAGTAAATAAACTTTTTGATACGGTGAAGGCAATTTTCCAATTTGTTAACCTCATGTGGGTCATTTCATAACTAGCCAGTTCCTGGCCACTGCTATGGTTTACCCCACCAAGAACAAGTTCCCCCACTCCCCCAAAAAGTTAACCCTATTATTGACAGATTTCACTTCTGGAATTGGTTAGGTTTGAGCAGGGGTCATTTCGTAGAAAAAGAGGTGCAGGAGCTCATTAGCATGACTTATTTGCATATGCCACACACCCTGACATCACGTGAAGTGTGTCAGAAGGCAACATCCACTACTCAGGCTCCACTGGAGTCGACTGTTTTGGATTGCTAGCTATGGGGGGGGGGACGTGCAGATCTGCCCTAGTAGAGGAGGGAGAGCTTGTACCTGAATAAACCTTGGCCTTAAAGTTGTCACTGGACTCTTTT